GGGCCTGACACCATGTGGAAGATGTCCATTCCCACAAGGATTCTCTCCTCTTCGCATCCAGCACTGTTGTGGTTGCAGCCTGGAATTTGTCTAGGGCAACAGGACAGCCGGGTGGTTAGGAGCACAGCTTTGGGAGTCAAACAGGCCTGGCATCTGGTCATTACGGTGTACCACTACCTGCTGAGGTTGGAGCAAGTTTCTTTATCTTTTTTTTTTTTTTTTAAGATTTATTTATTTATGCACACAAGAACTGAGATACAGGCTAGAGGTGTGGGGGGTGAGAGGATTCACCAGAGACAGAGTGGGGAACAAAACAGGCAGTTGTACTGAAATACACTTCTGAGGGGAGCAGTAGGCGAGACAGGAGAGGTCTCCTGTGCCATGTGGGTCTCCTCCCTGGCTGGGGACCGAACTTGTGCTGCAGTGGCTGCAGATTGCTTCATAGTGCAGCATAGTGTTGCGTCTTAACCCCTTCTGCCACCAGGGAGGCCCCAAGTTTCTTTCTCTTTAATGTCATCTATAAAGTGGATGAGTTGGTCTCACCTCCCAGATGCTTTAGGCCTGCAAGTGCTCGGGCTTACAGACAGGCCCGGGCCGCCGGTCCATGGGCATTTAAAGCTCCAGTGTCTGTCTCTGAGTTTGCCGCTCGTCCACCCCAGCTTGCCACACATTCTGCAACCTCACTGAACCTTGCCGTCCAGGAAACTTTCCCACATGAGGGAGAAAATAACTGCCTGCAGCCCCTAGGGTCACGTGCTTCCAAATTCTTCGCTTTAGCCTATTTCCTGCCAGGTTTCTCAGTAACACCCTCAGGACCTGCCCATGGCTGGATCAGGGATGGGGAGCTGGGCTAAGACAGGATGTACAGTAGAGAGAAGACGAGCAGAGGTGGCTGGAGCTTGACTTCTGTCCTCTCTCAAGAGCAGGTATTGTTTATGCATCAGTTACTTCAGGTGACCTCTTAGCGTAGTTCTTCTGTGAAACGGCTTTGCTGAGGTCTCCGGTAACCATGGTTTGATTGGTTTTTGTGAATTGTTTACATATAAGTAATTTTGTCACAGCTATAATCTGGGTTGATGGTCCATGTATCATAGGTAGGAGGGAGATGCTGAACACTTGCTCTCAGGCGAGAAATTTAGATTAAAGAATTCATCCAAGACCACACATGTAATAAGTGGTGGAGACGGCATGCCAGATGCCCACCCTTTAAAGCTGCCCAGCATTTCTTCACCCAACTTACTGCGCCAGCAGCCTCCTCCTTCCACCACTGTACAGGAGTTCCCTCCCCGATTCCTATCCTACTGTAAGCCAGCGTTGACAGGAACATGCCCTATTCTGAACCTGGGGACCCTGCATCAGGCCTTCAGAACTCTTTCCCCTTTTTGGGCGGGGGGGAGGGCAATTCTCTGTCCCCTTGATCCTTAGCTCAGAGAGCTTTTCCCCCTCACCACCATGCTCCTTAGTTTTCCTACTCCAGGAGCACCTGACTTGGCTTAGCCATTCACTGGTTTGCTCCCCGCCATTAGAGGGTCACCCTTCTGAGGGCTGGCACTTGCACATTGTCTTCCTGTAGTGACCCCTGACTTTGTGCTTTCACATATTACATATTTATTAAAAAAAAGGAATATGGGCCTCCCCGGTGGCGCAGCGGTAGAGCGCTGGGTTGCGAAGCTGCCCACGGCCTCTACGGCGACGGTTCAATCCCCGGCTGCTCCCCGGCCACCGGAGGAGGGTCCCACATGGCGTGCAGACCTCTCCTGCCGCCCGCTGCTCCCCTCAGCAGTGTACTTCGGTCCTTCTGCCTGCTCTGCTCCCCGCTCTGGCTCTGGAGAATTCTCTCACCCTCCCGCGCTTCTGACTGTACCCAGTGCATGTATAAACAAAAAACAAAACAAAAAAGCAAAACAAATAAATAAAGAAAAACATGCCTCTATAAAAAAAAAAAAAAAAAAAAAAAATAAAAAAAGGAATAACTCGGTCATATACGTCAGAAGTTGTAAGAATGTGACCCCCCCAAAGCAAATGGTGAATGGCTTCTTCACTCCCTGCCCCCCCCCCCCCCCCGCCCCGTGCCATGCCTGCCAAGAGACAGAGGGGCCGAGGAGGAGGAAGAGGAAGAGTTCTTGTGTTTGCGCTGTGTGGAGCTTCAAGCCATCTTCATTCTGACCTCTGCCAGTTAAGGCTGATGTCTGTTCTGTGCCTGGTCTTAGAGCTGCCAGCCCACACTGTCTAGAGCCTGTGGAAGGCAGCGGGGCTCTCTGGCTAAGGGCATGGACTCGAGTCAAGTGATCACTCTGCCCCATCCAGTTTAATTCCCCTTGACAAAGTTTCATAACCTCTGTGCCTCCATCTTGTATGTATAATAGGGGTGACCTCATAGGGTTGTCTAGGATTAAACTAGATAATCCACGTGAACTCTTTAGATTAGATCAAGTACATGTTGAGTGCTGAGTTAAAGCTGCTGTTGTCATGGACAGTACTAAATGCTATTAGTCTGTGCATGTCACATGTCCCTAGCTTTGCAGGGTCTGCGTCCTGTGTCCCTCAGCCTGCCCCATCTGGCACAGGTCATTGTTGGGAAGGACCTTTGAGGGAGGTGTGAGTGGAAACCCAGGCGGCTTGGGTGGGAGATCAGTTTCTAACCCCTTGTTCACTGTGGAGGGTGGACGCTTCAGCGGGAGATTTCCGTGCACTTGTTTGTTTTAGTTTGGTCCTGTGGGGACCAATATAATTCAGAGGGAGTCAGTGTCACCGTTGGGCACTCGTCTGGTGCTCTTTCTCCCACAAGCATAGCCCTGGCCTGCGGGAGGGAAAGGGATGGCTTCTGTGCTGGGAGGTGAGCGGTCTGAAGTGGAGTCTGACGTGGGCCTGCTCCCAGGGACAGTGCTGGGCTAGAGGAGGGCCACAGGGTCAGGTTCAGTTCCCTGCAAAGGGCAGAGGGCACAGTTCCCAAGCTCCACCACCTCCCCAGATGGCACACGGCGTGCTGGCAAGCCTGCCCACCAGTTGGATAAATCGCCGACTGTACATAATTTTTGGTGAGATGTACTGTGTAAGCCGGTGAAATGTGAACTACCTTCCATGAAAAACAAATCTGAATGTTAGGAAACATGATAAAAGAGTTGCAGAGCTCTTGTTATTGTTGTCAAATGTGCTGTGGGCCAAAACAACTCTGAAAGATTAGGGGGAAAGGTCAGTGATCCGAAAGGTCTCTGAGTTTTGCAAGTGGCAAGTTCTTGCTCTACTTTATTTTTTTTAAGATTTATTTATTTATGCATATAAGAACTGGGGTACAGGCCAGAGGTGGGGGTCGTGAGAGGATTCACCAGAGACAGAGTGGGGTGCAGAACAGGCAGACTGACTGAAATATACTGCTGACAGGAGTAGCGGGCGAGACAGGAGAGGTCTGCTGAGCCATGTGGGTAGCTCCCTGGCCGGGGATCGAACTCATGCTGCGGATTGCTTCATAGGTTGCATCTTAACCCCTTGTGCCACCAGGGAGGCCCCTCTTGCTCTACTTTAAAGAGAAAAGAAATAGGAAATCGGAGAGAACACTTTATTTATTTAAGAGGCATGTCTTTATTTGTTTGTTTGTTTGTTTTTGTTTATACATGCACTGGGTACAGTCAGAAGCACAGGAGGGTGAGAGAATTCACCAGAGCCAGAGCGGGGAGCAGAGCAGGCAGGACCGAAATACACTGCTAAGGGGAGCAGCGGGCAGCAGGAGAGGTCTGCGCGCCATGTGGGACCCTCCCCTGGTGGCCGGGGAGCAGCCGGGGATTGAACCGGCGCCCCAGAGACCGCGGGCAGCTTCGCAACCCAGCGCTCAACCGCTGCGCCACTGGGGAGGCTCTCGGAGAGAACACTTTAGAACTGTTGACCACAATAGTAGCTTAGAATGCCTGGACAGAGCGCATTTTAATATAATTATATGTTAAAAGTATATAAAATAAATAGATAAATTTTTAAAAAGTATATATGAACATATTTTGGGGGAGTGAGGAAGAAAAAGATATCATTATGTATGTAGTATTTTTTTTAAAGATTTATTTATTTATGCATACAAGAGCTGGGGTACAGGCCAGAGATGCGGGGGGTGAGAGGACTCACCAGAGACGGAGTGGGGAACAAAACAGGCAGACTGACTGAAATATACTGCTGAGGGGAGCAACGGGCAAGACAGGAGAGGTCTGCTGCGCCATGTGGGTAGCTCCCTGGCTGGCTAGGGATCGAATTTATGCTGCAGAGGCTGTGGATTGCTTCATAGTGCTGTGCTTAACCCCTTGTGCAACCAGGGAGACCCCGTATGTAGTATTTTTTTAATGACTTCCCTACTTTAATTGGCTGTTCTATCAACCAGCCAACTGTCCTGCTGTGTGTCAGGTGAGTAAGTTTCTACCGTGTTGATGAGTGGAGTGTCCAGTATGTTTTGTTCACTCCTAGAAGACTGGTCTGTCAACTTCGTTGCGTAAAACTGGAAATGTGGCCTACAACTGTGTTAGTAACAATGCTAAGGCACTTTGGCCAAAATAATCTGTGTCTTTGGATTCCATTTCAGTGGCTTCTTATGTCAAACTGACCTTCTTTCAGACTTGAATCACATGGCTTTCGCTCTGCCTTCTGGGTATGGCATGGACATAACTAGAACTGTGGTTTGCTCTGGTTTAGCAGGAGCTCAAAGACAACCAGGACTGGTGTGAGCCAGAGTCCAGATGAGGGGTATGGGGCTCAGGAATCGGGGGAGACTGGGTGGAAAGTTGGAACCTCTTTGAACCTTGGAGCTTGCTGTTTGGATGAAATAGTTTGACTTGAAGGCCTCAAGCACCCAGGTGCAAACACAAGAACCACCACAGATCCTTGTAAAGCCTGGTGACATTGGAACTTTGTATAATTTCAGACTCCCAGTAACTTATTTTCTGTTCAGATTCATGGTTGGGAATGTATTGCATTCATGCCATTGCAACCCAGAACCTAAAACTCTCTGGCTCTTGTTTTCACAGGTGCTGGGGCGATGTTTTTTGACAGTGGTGCAAGTCCACTTCCAGTTTTTGACCCAAGCATTACAGAAGGTCCAGCCCGTAGCTCACTCTTGCTTTGCTGAGGTGGTTGTGCCAGAAAAAAAGAACAGCAACAGTGGCAGCGGCTTATCTGGCATGGGCCACACACCTGAACTGGAGGAAGCTGTGCGATCCTGGCGGGGGGCTGCTGAGGTAACCCTGACTTGGGGGAGCTTGTTCATACAAAGGGCCTTCGCCTGCTGGTTCACAAAAGAGCTGTTTCATTTAGAAATTTGAGTTTTAATGGGTTATCACTAGGTTGCTCATTCATTTTACAGTGGACGTCTTTGTAAACACCCACTCTGTGCCAGGAACGGGTCTGGCCAGGGGCCGACAGCCCTTGCTCACCTCTCCTGGGAGGAAGCACTTACAAAAGCCGGGTCTAGGGCTGTGGTGGAGGTGTACTGGAGCCCCGCGGGGGCCCTGCCTCCAGTTGGGAGTGCTGCGCAGAGCCGCTGGGAATTGGGACTGAGGAGGAAAGGCTGGACGCCAAGTCCGGAAAGAGGCGAGAGCTGGCGCACACGGTGGGTGGCAGGGGGGTGGCAAGGCCGCGGCTCGGAGCAGGGACAGTGGATGGAGCATGTGTCTAGCAGGCATCTCAATACTCCCTTGTCCAGGAAGGCGGCAGGAAGCCTTCCAAGTCAGGACTTGAACTAACTAGGACTAATTTATTGTTCTCTTTTACAGAGTACATGATTACTTTTAAGTTAAGGAGTTAATCTTTTGGTTTATTATATAATGTCTGGCTTGAATCAGTCCATAATTAAATTGCATTTCATGTTTCAGGAATTGGCTTTCATCAAAATTTAAACATGATTCACTTTTTCACATTGTGCATTGTCTACCTTTCTTCCTTCAGTTTTACAGTTTGCTGCATTGTTTTGGGTTTTTTTTTTGTTTTTTTTTAAGGAGGAATTTCCTTTCAATATCTTTTTCCTGTCTCCTCCTTGTTTTGGTCTCTCTTTCATGTTAAAGGCTTTCTTCTGCTTTCGTGGTGTTTTCAGAACAGCCCTGAAATCATTGTATGCGGGAGCAGGCTGTTGGCTTCGTTGTGGGTAGGGGCCAGGGGCTCCAGACTGTTCTTGCCTGGGCTGCGGCCTCCTCATCACTGAGCTCACGTTCACACCCCTGCCGCGTGAGCTCACCATCTTCCCCAGCCCACCTGTCGCATCGTGTATGCTCGGCCTCCTGGTCTCCCGGGACCTTGCTCTCCACCCACTTAGTCAGCCCGAGCTTTTCTGCCTCCCTTGCTTTGCTTCCCGCCAGTGACCCCGTCCCGCCCCGCACTGAGAAAATAGAATCTCCCTGCAGCAGCCCCTCTTCTTTGTGTCACCTGCGGGACACTCCTGGCCCGCTCAGGCCCTTTTTTCTTTCTTCCCCTTCATCCCAGCAGAGGTGGCACCCTCACGTTCCTCTCCAGGCCTGCCTTGCCCCCACCCCTCTCCCATCCTCAAGGCCTCTGTGTGGGGAGCCTGTGCTTTCCCTCCCTCCTCCTCAACCCGCTCCCACCCGTGCAGAGCACTCTTGCAGACGCAGAACTTCTCCGCCACGATTCTCTGCTCTTTCCGTAGCCAACTTTGGGGAAAAATCGTCCCTCTCCCCTTTCATTCATGCTCAAAAAGATGATGAGACCTTTCAGACACATCTAGAATGTCGCACATGCCCTCCTGTCTTCCTTTCAGTTTTGGCAAATGAACCTTAACTTTTCGCTGCCTTTGCTTCATGCCTTTAATTGCCAACAGGAAAAATATTACAAATGCAGTTGAGTCCCCTTTGTACCTCTTCACGCTCACATCCCTTCCCCTCTAGAGATAACCTCTCTTGACTTTGGAGTTCGTGGCTTCTGTGCAGATGTGTGCTTTGTTTTCACTTGCTATGCACGTATCCGGAAATCGTATACGGTATTGTTTTGCCCAGTAGGAAACTTTATATATATGACATCATCCAGTTCACTGACATCTGGCTTTCCACTCCTACACAAGAGCGTGCCTTCACTTGTCAAGGTCGCTGTTGCCAAACCCAGGGAACCCTTTGCTTGTCTCTGCAACATCATCTTTTACCCACCAGTCACTGTTTACGTTGCAGGCAACATCCAGACTAAGAGAGCGAGGCTGTGATGGCCGCCTGGCAGGAATTGAAGTTCAGCAGCTCTTCTGTTCACAAAGCGCAGCAATTCCTGAGCATCAGCTAAAAGAACTCAATGTAAAAATTGACAGTGCTTTACAAGTAAGTTTCTCAGAATGAGCGCATTGATATGTGAGTTCAAGTTGTGACGTAAACCAGTTGGAGTGAGTCATAAAAAAGTAAATGAGGGCCTCCCTGGTGGTGCAAGGAGTTAAGATGCAACCTATGAGGCTGTCTGCAGAGGCTGCGAGTAGCTTCGCAGCCCAGCGCTCAACCGCTGCGCCACCAGGGGAGGCCCTACTTTTTTTTTTTAAAGATTTATTTATGCATACAAGAACTGGGGTACAGGCCAGAGGTGCGGTGGGGTAAGAGGATTTACCAGAGACAGAGTGGGGAACAGAACAATCAGACTGACTGAAATACACTGGTGAGGGGAGCAGCGGGCTAGTCAGGAGAGGTCTGCTGCGCCATGTGGGTAGCTCCCTGGCTGGGGATTGAACTTATGCTGCAGTGGCTGCGGACAGCCTCATAGGTTGCGTCTTAACCCCTTACACCACCAGGGAGGCCTGACTTTGTCACTTTATAATCTGCTACATAGTCTTGAGTCTTCAAAATGATCTCTTCGCAGGCATATAAAATAGCTCTGGAGAGCCTGGGCCACTGTGAGTACGCAATGAAAGCCGGCTTCCACTTGAACCCGAAGGCTATTGAAGCAACTTTGCAGGTACACTCTCCTCTCTGGGTGTCTTCGGGAGCTATCATGGCAGTTACACCATGTTGGGGGAGCCAGGTCCTGGCAGACAAGCCATGGTCACCTCTCCTCTCCTCTTCAAACCCTCTCCAGGGCTGCTGCAGCGAGGCGGAAGCACAGCAGACGGGTCGGAGGCAGACTCCGCCGCAGCCCATGCAGTGCGAGCTTCCCACTGTCCCTGTGCAGATAGGACCGCACTTCCTGAAGGGGGTCTCCTTCAATGAGTCAGCCGCGGACAATCTGAAACTCAAGACGGTAGCTTTTCACGGGGTTCCAGCATGCTGGGTGTGGACTTGAAAATAGAGTTCTTAAGGGAAACTGAGGGCTGTAAATTGAAAAATCCAAAGTCAAGGCAGGAGGCGTTGCCCTTCCTTCTTCAGTACACTGGTGTTTAAAGGCAGGTATGGCAACTTTTTTAATGAGACATTTGCCAAGATAGCTTTATTCAAATGTTTAACATAAAGGGTTTTGAAAGTACCCTTTAAAATGTTGTTGACGATTAAGGTTTCTGTGGACTCCCGTGAATGAAGTAAGAGCAGTCTTGTCCTGATGCTGCCTGGTGACTGTGTGCGAAGCCTCATGGGTGCCAGGCGCTTCACATGTGTTCTTGGTTAACCCTCACCCGGGACGGGGTACTGCCCTTTCCCCATTTGACAGATAGGAGAGCTGAAGCCCAGGGTCACCCAGCTGGAAAGTGGCACACCTGGGAATTGAGCTGTTGCAATCAGTTTCCAGAGCCTGCAGGCCTGACCACTTGGTCACCCAAACAAAGCTGAGGTTTTGTTTCCTTACTTGGGAGGAATTCAGAATTTCAAAATTCGTCAACCAATTTGTATCAGTAGATTGCTAAATAGTACTATGTTTTGTGCCAGTGTTTATTGGTGCATGAATGTCCCTGCCTAGCCAGTCACTCTACAGGCTTGAGAAAATCTTGACAGGGGTCTGATGATCATTGCGTGAGAAATTAAATGACGTGATTTGGGAGTATTTATGCAAAATACTCTTCTCTTGATGGCTGCTGTGCACCTGTAAAGGCATTCCTTCAGATTCCATCGCTTTCTCTTGAGACGTGAACTCTGTTCTCACTTGGTAGCATACGATGTTGCAGCTGATCAAGGAGGCAGGCTGCTACAACGGACTCACACCCAGGGACGATTTTCCTGTGACTGAAGTTCTGAACCAGGTGTGTCCCTCCACATGGCGCGGTGCCTGCAAGACCGCTGTGCAGCTGCTATTTGGCCAAGCTGGACTGGTGAGTGATCACGTGTGGCTGTGGGAAAGAGGAGAAAAAGACACTGCCAGCAGCTGAGGACACTGCGGACACGTGCCTGAGAATACTGAATAATTGAAAACATCCTTTGGTGCGCTGGAGTTTAGAGCAGATAGAAAAGCTAAAGAAAGGGCAGCATCAAAGGCTCTTTTCTTTCTTTTCTTTTCTTTTTTAAGATTTATTTATTTTTATGTAAGAGCTGGGGTACAGGCCAGAGGTGTGGGAGTTAGGTAAGAGGATTCACAGGAGAGAGAGCAGGGAGCAGAACAGGCAGACGATAGAAATGCACTGCTGAGGGGAGCAGCAGGTGCAACAGGAGAGGTCTGCTGCACCACATGGGATTTTCGCCAGCCGGTGGGGATTGAACCGGCACTACAGAGGCTGCAGACAGCTTCACAGTGTGGCACTCAACCCGCTGCGCCACAGGGGAAGCCCCCGTGTGCGCGCGCTCTCTCTCTCTCTCTCTCTCTCTCCCCCTCCCCCCTCTCCCTCTTCCCCCCTCCCCCCTCTCCCCCTTTCTCCCCCTCCCCCTTCCTTCCTCCCTCCCCTTCCTTCCTCCCCTTCCTCCCCTTCCTTCCTTCATTCCTTCCACAATTGGGGTACAGGTCAGAGGTGTAGGGAGTGGTGAGATGATTCACCAGAGACAGAGTGGGGAGCAGAACAGGCAGACTGACGAAATACACTGCTGAGGGGAGCAGCGAGTGAGCCAGGAGAGATCTGCTGCGCCATGTGGCTCACACAGTGCTGAGATGTAACCCCTTGTGCCATCAGGGAGGCCCTAGTGGGTTTTTGTTGTTATTTTTTTTTTGCCTTAGAAGAACTTGTGAAAGTTGGGAAGGCTAGGGGTGGGGGTCAGGAGGTCAGCCTCTAAAACTACTGTTTAGCTTTTTGTTGATACTGTTAAACCCAAATAACCCTATGTACTTGATCTACTTTATAGAATTAAGTAACTACTTTTGACAAAGATACAACTTTTCCATCAGAGATTCAAGGAACTAGAGATCAAGACAATTAAAGAACTGTTTCTTCCTCTGGTTCTAAGTTTATTCATGAAAGAAGCTGTTGGGGTCCTCCCTGGTGGCCTAGGGGATAAGTCTCAGAGCTATTACTGCTGTGGTATGAGTTCGATCCCTGGCCAGGGAGCTACCCACATGGTGCAACAGACCTCTCCTGTCTCGCCTCCTGCCTCCCACTCTGTGTCTGGTGAATCCTCTCATCTGCCTCATCTCTGGCCTACACACCAGCTCTTCTATGCAAAAATAAATAAAATCTAAAAAAAATAAACCAATGCTTCAGAAAGGTCCACTCGTAGTCACTTAATATCCAACAGTGAATGACGCCTTTTTATTTTTTTAAATTTTTTTAAAGATTTATTTATTTATTTCTACAAGAACAAAGGTTTAGGCCAGACGCGTGGGAGGGTGAGAGGATTCACCAGAGACAGAGCAGGGAACAGAACAGGCAGACTGACGAAATACACTGCTGAGGGGAGCAGCGGGTGAGACAGGAGAGGTCTGCCACGCCACGTGGGACCCTCCCCAGCCGGCCGGGATAGAACTGGCACTACAGAGTGCAGCGCTTCACAGTGCGGCGCTTCACAGTTCGGCGCTCAACTGCCTGCACCACCAGGGGAGGCCCGAAGCTTTTTAAAGATCATTTCATCCTTAACCATCAATAAAAATAGAATGGTTTCAGGAAAGACAAAGAACCAACAGTTCTTTCAATGATTTCATCTTATTTGGAGGAGTCTTTAGTATCATATGAATGATATGTACCCTACATAGTTAAGAGTTTAATGAAGTTACCAGTATACTTTTTTTTTTTTTTTTTTTTTTTTTTTTTTAATAGAGGCATGCTTTATTTATTTGTTTGCTGGTTTGTTTGTTTGTTTTGTTTATACATGCACCGGGTACAGTCAGAAGCGCGGGAGGGTGAGAGAATTCACCAGAGCCAGAGCGGGGAGCAGAGCAGGCAGAAGGACCAAAGTACACTGCTGAGGGGAGCAGCGGGCGGCAGGAGAGGTCTGCACGCCATGTGGGACCCTCCTCCGGTGGCCGGGGAGCAGCCGGGGATCGAACCGGTGCCACAGAGGCCGCGGGCAGCTTCTTAACCCAGCGCTCAACCGCTGCGCCACCGGGGAGGCCCAACTTTTTAATAACTAACAGAATTTTAAGAAAACAATTTGAGAATAACATTTCAAGAGTAAAGCCATGCAGATTCTGAACTCAAGTCTCCAATGGATCCGATTTCCATTGTTGTGAACAGTTCCCACAGCTGGTCTGCAGCGTCCTCTGGGAAAGACTTCCTGTCCAAGACTAGTCATTGTTGGGCCAGGCAGGTGTTTCCTCACATCCCCAGAACCATGATCTAAAGGTTCTTTTTCATTCACACACAAAGGTGTCCTGGGATCAAGAGGGAGGGAACAAGGAAAAAGCCTCTGCTTTCTGAGTAATATGGGATTTTATTTTTTTTTAACCCATGATGTTTGTACAAAATAGCCTGTGTGTCCTCCTCCTCTAATTTACACTCTTTTCTGGGGAGTTTGTTTCTGGGGTTCTTCCATTTTCACCTAAGATGGTCTTTGGCAACATGAATCAAAGTCCTAAAGGTGGTGGGCTTTTCGACACTTCATCAGAAGGTCTAGTTTACACCTTCTCTTTGGGGTTCCTGCACTAAGGAACAGAGCCCAAGAAAGTGCAGTTCACCGGTGTGGACAGGCCTCATCCAGCCCTCTACTGCTGTGGCAGTGCCTTGATTGGGGCCACCTGAGCCCGAAATGACAACACCTTCCCAAAGGCTCTTTGTGTGTGTGTGTAGAAGAACTGGGGTACAGGCCAGAGGTGTGGGTGGTGAGAGGATTCACCAGAGACAGAGTAGGGAGTAGAACAGGTGGATCTACTGAAATACACTGCTATGGGGAGCAGCAAGTGAGACAGGAGAGGTCTGCTGTGCTATATGAGGGTTATTAGCTGCATGGCCAAGGATCAAACTCAGACCGTAGGGGTAATAGTGTTGAGACTTAACCCCTAGGCCACCAGGAAGGCCCCTGGTTTAACTTTTTTTTTTTTTTTAAGATTTATTTTATTTATGCACACAAGAACTGGGGTATAGGGTGGAGGTGCAGGGGGTGAGAGGATTCATCAGAGACAGAGTGGGAAGCAGAACAGGCAGATGTACTGAAATACACTGCTCAGGGGAGCAGCGGGTGAGGCAGGAGAGGTCTGCTGTGCCATGTGGGTAGCTCCCTGAGCAGGGATTGAACTCATGCCGCAGTGGCTGGTGATAGCTTGATAGCACTGAGACTTTAACCCCTGTAGGGAGGCCCCCCTGGTTTGATTTTTAGACATTCTTACTTCATTCAAGTGCATTATGTAAGAGACTACTAAGATAAAGGAAACAAAAAATATTTCCTGATTGACATGTATAGTTTGAAAAAATGGTAAAAGTATTTGCAAAGTTTAGTATGTCCCAAACCAGAATTTGGTTTCTGTTTGTTGAAGTTTCTGTTTGTTGCAGTATTACTGTATTCCGTCGTTGTTATTACTGTTGTCTCCATGGGGCTCCTGACTGGCCTGATGGCCTTTCAGGGTGGGGATAGAGGGTGGTTCTTGCCAGAGGCATTCAGCATCAGTATACTCATGTGTTGGATTTGCTTGTGATTCATTTTCCTGTCTGAAAGCTGATTATTGTTTTTGTTTCTCTCTTAGGTGGTAGTTGACACAGCTCAGATTGAAAATAAAGAGGCGTATGCCCCCCAGATCAGTTTAGAAGGCTCCAGAATTGTGGTTCAAGTCCCATCCACATGGTATGAGATGTTCATCTTTACGCAAGCCTACCTTCTGATTGACACTGGTACAGCTCTGAGATTACTTTGTTTTGGCAAAACCCCATGCTAGCTGACACGACAGGTCCTGCTGCTTATGTGGGTTGATCAGCCAATAGTGTGTGCAGCGGCCTTGGGTCATAACTATCAGTCCGTGAGGGGGAAACCAAGATGACCAAGATGACTCTGAAGTAGCCTCACTGGCCAGTAAAGTAACTAAAACGTTACGTACTCATGGATCACAATATGCAGCTTTATCCTTTCTTTTATTACTAATTCTGCAACTTTTAAACAGTTTATCATTTTCTCTCAGTCACCTAATGTTTCCCCAAAACTGAGTACAGAACATTGAGCTCCTTTTCCTCCTGAGTCTATTCCAAGGACCACCTAATGATCTTGCGCTCGTGTCATTACACACCAAGTGTGTAGTGGTCTGTCTGGGGACATTTTTATTTTTAATTATTTAAACAAAAATGCACACAGAAGTTGTTGAAGAGACCACACTGCTTTTCTAGAGGGCGGTTTAGTATCTCACAAACCTAAAATTGGGGCTGTGGCCTCAGCATTTCTATAATTTCATATGCACAGAGATTAAGCTAAAATGATCAGCACCATAGCTTTACTCATAAAAAGCAAATTTTAAACATTGCAATTATTATTCAGTGCATTTTGCTGTTAAAATTATTATCTAAATGAATAACTATATAGTTCAAGTATAGTTCAACTAAACAGTTCAAATATTTAGGAGGGAAGAGAGTGAAGAAAAGTGGCACTCTTGGTGACCGTGTGGTCTAACGTGATGGCTGAATTATGTTTAAACCTTTTCTCCTTGAAATGCAAGGGCCCAGTGGTAGATTTTGCCAGAAGTTTTAGAATTTGTTGATATATCCAGTAAGGGTTCATAGTTCCCTTCATGTTCCCAAATCTCCCTTAATGAGTTCCCACCACCACCAAAATTTTAATTTGACTGTTGTGGTGGTATCCTGTTCTCTGAAATTAATGGTAATTTATATTCATGTCTTCATTCCTATCAAGTAACAAATTAAAAGCTCACATTCCTTAAGATTTTTGTGTTCCTGAAAGCTTAATTTGTTTTTCAGTTCAAGTTCTTATTGAAAAGTACTAAACTTAACCAGGGTTCTCATTTTGAAGAAGATAATTTGAACTTCTGGATAATTGAGTAGCTAGAAACAGCTAGTACTGAAAAAGTTAGCACTTCTGTTTACCTCCAGAACTGTCCCTGTGATTGACTTCCTTGGTAGTTGACAGCCTCCATGGAAGACTAGACTGCGCCTCTCAGAGAGCTCCCTCTGCTGGTTGTTTTCTGTAAAACACAAACACAAATTTTTGCGAATTACAAAATATGTGCCTTGTTGTAACTCAAAGAAAATGATTCCTTTTCCACCTTTGCAAAAATTAAATGGATAGTGAAGCCAGTCATGAATTTATTATATACTTTTCTTTTAATGAAACATGTGCCTGCCGGCCAGATTTTTTTCTAAACAAATACTTAGATTTTTTTTTTTTTTAACTTAGATTTTTAAACTACCATATTTAAGCAATTTAGCTATTCTTTCTATCAGCAATTATTTATTGAATACCAACTATGTGACAAACACTGTCCGGGCTCTGGGGATTTAATCAGGAGCAAAACAGACCCCTGGCTGAGCTGACTGTAATGGTAAGGAGGAGGAGACAGCTAATAAGACAAACTTTAGAAATCACCAGTTAAATTCAAACATTGGCAAGTGTATGAAGGGAATAAGAGTAGATTGACATCATGTGATAGAGACTAACTGGGGTAGAGGTAGGGAGGAGAGGCTATTTTGGATAAGGAGGTCAGTCGTGAAGGCCTCCTAAAGGCTGTGACATTTGATTTGAGAGGAACTGGCATGCAGAGAGCAGATGGGGAAAACATTCGAGGCAGAAGGAACAGCAGATGCAAAGGCGTGAGCCTGTGTGGCTGGAGGTGTGGTAGGAGGTGATGAAGTGGGGGCGTCATAGCCAGGACTTACAGGGTCTGAGGGACTTAGATTTATGTAAAGAACAAGTTGAGGGCTTACAGGCAGGTTTGGTGATTTGTTGTAAGAATGGGTTTAATATCTTGCAGGAATTTTATTGATCAGTTCTCAAGACTGATGAGTAATATAAAAATGCCACTTTGTTGAAAATAAAATTACCGCCACCAGGAACTATAGCAGTGCTTTCTGCATGACCAATGAGTGTTCTGTGGGCAAACGTATGACCCGCCAGATCATACCCGGTAGTTGGCTTGGGAGAGGAGAGCGAGTGTGTCCTGATATTCAGAGATTCCAGGCTCAGGAATCTGGTACATGAACCTTGGCCTGTTCCTTTGGTCACATTCTCTCCTGGGAGTCCAGGTCTGACTGGGCACTGCCAGAGCTTGCCTTGTTGCTTGTCTGCACCCGTGTTTCTGAAGCTGCTGAGCTCATATCCTCACGGTCATTTCTTTTCAATCCAGCAGCATGTTGAGGGGTGCTGCTGCCTCCTGAGGGTGCCTCCTTAAGGTGGCTTCCCAAGTGTTGAGTTCACCATTAACTCCCAGAGAATGAGCATCTTCATGGGTCCCCCTCTCAGAAAAGACTCCTGCCAGAGGTCCCCTAACGGGCAGTTGGGGACCTGAATGGGGAGAAGCAGCTCTAAGGGAGAGCAGTCCAGGCAGAGATACCAACAAGGACTCTCAGGGAAAGGGAGGAAGCCTCGGAGTGCAGACCAGATGAGTGCGATGCCAGTGAAGGGAGATGTGCCGGAGGGACAGGCAGTGCCAGGAAACACAGGGCCTTGGGGGCTGTGAAGGGTTTAGATTTTGCTTTGGTCATGACAGGTGCCCCTGGAGGGTTTTAAAGAGGGGAGTGATGTTTTCTGATCTGTGCGATCGGAAGCTCACTCTGGCCGCTGTGCGGAAGTGGGGACTCGGCACAAGAGTGCAGAAAGAGACCAGGCGGGAGGTTGACCTAAGACACAGATGGTGAGTTTTCTGGAATATAGCAGTAGTAAGAGGCAGGGGAAGCACTTGGATTCTGAATATGATTTGGAAGAGCTGTCAGGATTTGCTGATGGATTGATGTAGGATATGAGGGAGCCAGAGATGACTGGGAGGGTTGGGTGTTGTTTACTTACACAGAAGTTTGTAGAAATCAGAGTGGATTTTGGCAGGGGAGAGAGGAGTTAAGAGTTGTGCTGACCAGGTGATCTCTGAGGTGCCTGTTATTTGTGCAAGGAGAGAAGTCAAGGTAGAGAGGTGCGGTTAGATATGAGAGTGGGGTCCAGGAGGAGGTCGAGGCTGGCGAGGGAGGGTCAAATATTCTGTGTAGAGGTTGTCAGTCGAGCAGTAGGGCCAGACACAGTGCTCTGGAAACAGAGGGCACAGGCCTAGACTATGAGGGAGCAGGAGGAGTTGTATCGGAACCAGGAAAATGGAGCAGGTGTGTGGTCACCAAAACTGCAGGGAACAGTGACCCAGCAGAAAGGGAACATTGCACAGTGGCACTGAGAGATTGAGTAAGGTGGAAGCAGGTCACTGATTTTTTTTTTTTTAAGATTTTATTTATTTATTTATTTGTTTGTTTGTTTGTTTGTTTATATAAGCACCGGTACAGTCAGAAGCGTGGGAGGTTAAGAGAATTCACCAGAGCCAGAGCAGAGAGCAGATCAGGCAGACTGACGAGGTACACTGCTGAGGGGAGCAGCGGGCAGCAGGAGAGGTCTGTGCGCCATGTTGGACCCTCGCCAGTGGCCAGGGATCGAACTGTCACTGCAGAGGCTGCGGGCAGCTTCGCAACCCAGCGCTCAACCGCTGCGCCACCAGGGAGGCACCAGGTCACTCATTCTTGACTTTGGCAAAATCGATGTTTGATCAAAGCTATTTTAGTGGCTTTCTGGGTGTGAAAGCCTGGTCAGAGTTGGGCAAAACTGGGGGTAAACTGGGGGTAAGAGACAAGGGCTGTGTCTAGAGGGATGTGGGCTGAGAGAAGGCAGCTGGCAAGATGGCTTTGTTTGCTGAAGAGAATATCACGAGAGAAATGGAGTGATCACGCAAGCTGGGAAGGTGGGAGGGTACTTAGCACCCAGTGCTCCTGTGGAGGGTCGGCCTGTGGCAGGGCGGGCGCATCTTCCACCGTGACAGGAGGACACAGACACAGGTGGATGTGGAGTGGTGGTGGGAAAATGGAGTAGATCACACCTGCTTCCGTGTTTTCGCCATGAAGTGAGACTCGGGATCAGGAGAGGGCATGGATGGCATAACTAGGGAGAGACGGAAAGGGGTGAGCAGCCATCTTGGGAAGAAGAAAATAGATTTATGGTAAAGGCCACGTTTGTCGCTTGCCTGCAATCTGTGGGGAGTTCAGGTGGTAGACTGTGAGGGGTTTCCCCTCCCTTGGCGCTCAGACTCCAGGGTTTCTGGGTACAGGTGTGAAGCGCTAAAGCAGAATGGAGGGGCAGAAAGAGAGGAGAGCATTTGCCAGGGATGAGCTAGTGCCAGACCGCACAGAACGTCAGCAGAGTAGAGAGGAAAGGCAGGACTGGAGCAGGTGCTGGATGGTCAGAAGGAACGGGGCCCCCCAGGAAACAGCCCTTCGCAGAATCCTCTTCCTGCCAGACTCTAGACAGGTAGAGACCCATGGGGACTCAGGCCCTGTTGGTTGCTCCTCATCTTGCAGAGGAGCAGTTTCCAGCATTAGCCCTACCACTCTCGACTTGTTCTTACAGTTACTCAGTTTTCGTTGGGTGAAAAAGGTTTATAAAAGTTGTCGCCTTTTGTACAAAACATGCTTGAAACACCTTTAACATGGCCGGGTTCCTGCCTAGGTGCCTGAAAGAAGACCCCGCTACCATGTCCCTGCTGCAGAGAAGCCTGGACCCCGAGAAGACCTTGGGCCTGGTGGACGTGCTCTATACGGCCGTGCTGGACCTCAGCCGCTGGAGGGCAGGCAGGTCGGTGTCCCCCTGGTCACTGGGATTGGCTGTGCCAGTGGTTGCCATTCAGGGCCACACCCAGGGACAGTGTAGCCGCATGTGATTTCATGTGCTCTCACGTCTCTGATAGTGAGACAGGAAGAGCAAGAATTTTAAAATTTGGAATAAGTTCAGACATTCAGAGAAGTTGCAAGAGAGTACAGAGAATGGCTCTGTGCTCGTTACCCAGTTGGTCAACAGTTTCGCCTGTTGGTTTCATCATTTCAGAGTAAGTCCCATCAAAAGGACTTTAGCCTAACTTATATCCTGTCATGAACTATGAGCAGAGAAATGTTTAGAAAATGTATGTCCTGCATGAGATTTACTTGCAGCTGAAAATAGCTGACGGTTGCAAGATTCTCTCTTTATGAATTATTAACTCTGAAAAACAGGAACCTTAAACATCTAGCCATGTCCCTTCCCCCATTTTGTAACCGAGGAGCACACAGACGCCCCAAACAGTGAAGTGACTTACCCAGGGTCACACCAGCGATCACCTGTCTTGGCATCCGCCCCATGCCCTGTCTCTCTCTAGAACTCTCTTTCATTACTGGAAAAAAGGTGCTCAGAAAACTTTGGAAGCAACCATCTTTTCTTGGCACCTTCTGTGAATAACTTCCAGTGACAGCAGTGCTGAACAGTGTCCCTTGGTCCTGCCCACCCACTCCTCTCTGCTTTGGTTTGTCCATTGTCTCTCTGCTGGATCTGCTGGCTCTTAGTCCCCACGCCCCAGGCACAAAGCTGGCCTCCACCAATTGCATCCCACACACTAGCCCGGCTTGTTCTCCTGGGCTACACAAACTCTTTAGACAGAATCCTGATGTCGTTTTCACAGCTCTGTGTTACATGCTGTAGATTTCTTTATAATAAATCTAGAGAGTAAATGCTGAAATCACACATACTTAAAACTCTTGGGTATTCATTCATATATCTGTAAAAAAAAATGAACCTCATGCTAACCAGACAGAGATGTTTTTCAGTAAAGTTTTTCTTAAATTACAGAGAGCTGTCTCATTGTCCAATTTGTATATTGTTCTGTCCTTTTCTTTTTTTTAATACTTTACTGTTTAAACAGGGAGCAAGCTTTACCCTGCATACAAATCCAGCTTCAAAGGGAGATCTGTGATTTTGGGAATCAGGCTGACCTGCCTTCTGGAAATGGAAACAAATCTTCAGGGGGCCTGCAGAAGACGTTCTCCAAACTGACGTCCCGGTTCACCAAGAAAGCATCGTGTACCACTTCTAGCAGCAGCACAAGCTATTCCATCCCCAGCACCCCTTCCAAAAACATCTTCGTCGCTGGGTGTTCAGAAGAAAAGGCCAAAATGTCTGGTAATATTGACACGAGGCTCCAGAGCATTTTGAACATTGGTAATTTTCCTCGGACTCCAGACCCTTCACAGCCAGCTCAGAGCTCCGGGCATCAGATGGCCAATGGTTTCCTCATGGAGAGGCGTGAGGCTTTCCTGCAAGGGGAAGATGGGAAGGATGAGAAGGGCATGAACTTACCCACTGATCAGGAAATGCAGGAGGTGATTGATTTTCTCTCCGGCTTTAACATGGGCCAGTCACATCAGGGCTCCCCGTTGGTGACGAGGCGTAACTCTGCTGCCACGGCCCTGGTACCTGAGCAGAAGGCGGGGGGCATGCAGCCACAGCAACCACCACTGCCAGTGCCCCCTCCGCCGCGGCCACCCCAGGCTGGGACGCATGCACCTCTGACACCCCAGCCGGGACTGGCACCTCAGCAGCAGTCCCCCAAGCAACAGCAACCCCAGGTCCAGTACTACCAACACCTGCTCCAGCCCATTGGGCCGCAGCAGCCCCCACCCCAGCCTCGGGCCCCCGGGAAATGGAGCCACAGCTCGTCCCAGCAGCCAGCGCAGCCCGTCGGAGCGGGTCTGTCTCCTCTCGGCCAGTGGCCTGGCATGTCTGATCTCAGTTCTGACTTGTACAGCTTGGGGCTGGTGAGCAGCTACATGGATAATGTGATGTCGGAGGTTTTGGGCCAGAAGCCACAGGGACCTAGAAATAACACTTGGCCAAACCGTGACCAAAGCGATGGAGTCTTCGGAATGTTGGGAGAGATTCTGCCCTTTGATCCTGCAGGTACGTGAGCCCCCCAATTTGGCGTTTTTAATAGAAATGGCGTCCCTGAGTACTTCGCAGGGCCTGTATGCCACAGCTTGCTTCTGAGGAGAAATGGCTTAATTCCCTTTTAAAGTCCCTTTCTCACCGCCTCATGGCAAGTATGGGGCAGATCCCCCAAAGGTCGGAAGTAGTGGGGAGAAGAAGGCTGAGAACTTAAGTGTAAGTATATTCTCGCAATTTACAGAGGACAGGACTGCGACCGAAAGAAGTCACATGGGTCACTGAAAGTCCCATATGTCAAGCTGGCTCCAGTCTTCCTATCCCAGCCGTCTCGTTCGTGGGAGCCACAGCGACTGGCCCTTTCTTGGGTCTCTCTTGCTGATTAGATAACCTGTTCTTGTGATTCTTTTTCCCTAAGCTCTAGAACCTATGAAAGGCGGTAGCCTACCCTTCTGCTTTCTTCAAGTAGAGTTTCTCCTGGCCTAGACAGTATGAAAATACCACCTGCATTACCTTCAGAACTAGAAATTAATTTCTGATAATCATAATACATGTAAAATATCACACGCGCACACACAAGCACATGCACACCCCTCTATATTGGGTATAATTCTTGAGGAAGAATTCATTAAGAATAAAAAGAGGGGCCTCCCCTGGTGGCGCAGTGGTTGAGTGCTGGGCTGCGAAGCTGCCCGCAGCCTCTGCAGTGCTGGTTCGATCCCCGGCCACCGGCGAGGGTCCCACATGGCGCGACAGACCTCTCCTGCTGCGCCCACTGCTACACTCAGCAGTGCATTTCGTCAGTCTGCCTGTTCCCCTCTCTGGCTCTGGTGAATTCTCTCGCCCACCCATGCTTCTGACTGTACCCAGTGCTTGTATAAATAAATAAATAAATCTTAAAAAAAAAATAAAGAGGCAAATTATAGTGCATGTCACTTGTGATACATACAGGAAAATCTAGCAGTGTATGAAGAGAGAGGCATCTGTTAGTAAACCCAGTATTTCAGGGTGTGTAAGAACCTCTACTACTGTACAGGGACCCATCATGTCAGCCAGTTAGTGAGAAATACTCTTAAAACAATAGATATTGTAAAGGCACATGGTAAAAGACACCAGCTGTAGTTAAAAAATAAAACTGGGCCTCCCTGGTGGCACAAGGGGTTAAGCACCGCACTATGAAGCAATCCGCAGCCTCTGCAGCACAAGTTTGATCCCTGGTGGGCCAGGGAGCAACCCACATGGTGCGGCAGACCTCTCCTGTCTCGCCCGCTGCTCCCCTCAGCAGTGTGTTTCTGTCAGTCTGCCTGTTCTGTTCCTCACTCTGTCTCTGGTGATTCTTCTCTCCCCCAACACCTCTGGCCTGCACCCTAGTTCTTGTATGCATAAATAAATAAATCTTTTAAAAAAATAAATCAGTGGGGCCGAGCCACTTGAGAGGGCGTGGCAGGGTTCACGTTTTCTGTATTCAACAGTCTGTCCGTTTTGAGAACAGTCATGTAATTGCATTGAGTTTGGCAGAAATTTGCCATCTTTGTTTTTTTTTGAGACCTGGGTAACCTTTATGTCTTTCATCTACTAATCCTACTAGCCCTTTTGCTGGGTTCCTTTCTGACTTTCGAATCCTTGACACAGCATCGGCATCAGGTCTGTATAGCCCTTTGCACAAATTCAGGACGGGCACTCCTCTGGACAGGGGAATTAGAGAGGGCACCTTCTTGGGTGGGGAGGTGGGGGCATCAGTTAGAACAGAGCACCCCCTCTGCACATGGGGTCGTGGCAGCACCCTAAGAACAAGCTAATGGATTGTGCCCTAATCTCTTTCCTGATTCAAAGCAGAAAACACACTGCAGTCATATTTGGTTAGTGACCCATAGATATTTTCCTACTGTGTCTTTTCGTTTGACTTTCTCTAAACACTTTCTGTGCTATTTTTCTCCCTCTTCTTCTGCCCTACACATCCTTAGTCAGCTCTGTCCAGGAAGTTTCCAGCCATGCATTCTGAAATTTCATCTTGTCCTTTGATACTCTGTATCTTCAGACTGAATGAACAGGTCTGCTGTCCACCACCCAGGAAAATGCTGGATCAGAGCAGGGGGACCCACGTGAGCATGTATTCTCCATCGGGCCGACCCGGGTGCTTCCCTATAATTTTCAGGTTACATTTGGCTGAGCATCATCTGATTTTCTGTCTTTAAGTACATAACAGTAGACGATGGACATTTTTAAAGTAATATTTGCCTTTAAATTTTCGTCACGGATAAAGCACACCTTTCGTTTTTTCTTTCACATTCAGTGGGCCTCTGTGCTAGGCAATAACCCTCTGAGACTGACAGTCTCTGCACACACTCACCCCTGCTCCAGAGCTGGGTGCTGAAAGCTGTCCGCGGCCAGCCCGGGGCCACCGCCTGGCGGCTCCTTCCCACTGTCCATATGTGCATGACTGGCGCATCCTCAGAAGATGGGGAAGGAAACAAGAGGCCAGTTTGGCCCCAACCCCTGTTTGTCCCTTTGTCTTAACAGTGGGATCAGACCCAGAGTTTGCACGCTATGTGGCGGGCGTGAGCCAGGCAATGCAGCAGAAGCGACACGTCCCACATGGGCGCCGCCCAGGCAACCCCCGGGGCAACTGGCCCCCCATGGACGATACCCATCGCACCTGGCCTTTCCCAGAGTTCTTTTCAGAAGGGTGAGTGCTGGGTGTGGCAGGGGCCGAATTTGTGGCCTGGATGTCCCCCATGATTTTTGTCAGTCTTGCTGGGCAAGTCCGTTTCCCCAAATGAGAGGGGTTACATGTCATGTCAGATCTTCAGGGAGTTAGAGTGTTATGACTGTAGGACACCAGGTGGCATGATGTGTCCTGTGAGCTCACCAGTGGTGTAAAGTGATGACTGTCAGCCAGATACTTCCACGGCTCCTATTGAGGGAGTTTGTGAGGTGATTATGTGTTTGACATGGTCCTTGTGCTAGAATGAGCCTGACTGTGAAATCCACAAGATCTATGGTTTGCGTCCTCGGAGCCCACGCTAAGCAGAGGTGTGTGGTTCGGACCCAGTGGCTGAGAGGATTGTGGATCATGATGATGATGATGATGATGGGATGCAGTTTTCACATCTCTTAACTGCTGCCTGGTTAATAAAGTCAATTTCATCTACCTAGCACACGCTTCTCAGAAGAGTAACGCAAAGCGATGAATGAATGTCTATCACTTTTGAAATAAGAGGAAGGGAGAAAATCTTTGGGGGAGAGAGACGAGACCAGTGTTCGGTTGTGAGGCGAGTGCAGAGCCAAGGCTGTTCTTTAGGGTGTGGGTGGGGGCAGGCTGGGCTGCCCCTTCAGAGTGCGGGCTCTCATGGGCAGCAGGGCTCAGTGTCTCTCTCTGACTTCCAGGGATGGCCTGCACAGCGGCTGGTCGGGCGCTCAGGGAGACTCAGCCAGCTCGAGTGATGAGACGTCTTCTGCCAACGGGGACAGCTTGTTCTCCATGTTTTCAGGGCCTGACCTCGTTGCTGCTGTTAAACAGAGAAGGTATGAGGAGATTTCAAAACCACATGAAAGAGAGGGGGCCCTTGAGTATGACCTACCGCTTATTCCTCTAGAAAGCTCAGGAGCCCGTTGCTCCCTGTCGGCCTCGTGTGAGAGAAGCCAGGGACCCCTTCGAGCACTGTCTCGCTGAGGCTTGTGGGCGGCCGGCCGGCAGGCTCGGAGCTGACTTAATACTGTGTTGATGCAGTCTCATGCGGTGGCAAACCAGAAATCCCAGTGAGGAGGCAAGGGAGGGTCCTGGAGACAGGGCGCAGGAGGCTGTGCCTTCCAGAAGGGAGCCTTCTGTGGGACAGACAAGGCCGGGGCAGCCGTGTTCTGATCAGAACTCACCAACAGGCTTTGCAACTCCAGACCTTCACTTTTCTTTGTCAAAGGTGGAACAGAGGAACTGGAAAAAATGAGTAATAGAGTACCCTCAGATTTGGTTTTCAGGAGTAGTCACAAAAATCAAAATGGGCCCTGAAATAAGAGAAGAACTTGGCTGGGAAGAAGAGGAGAAACTGCCATGGCCCCGGGGAGGTAGAGTCCAGGGGCAGCGAAATGTAGGGTGCAGGCAGGAGCTGCCGTGCTGCCCAGGCGTCAGAAGTCAGGCTGTGAAGCAGACAGGGAGGCCAGGTGACGCAGCTCGTGTGTGACAGGGTCGGCCTCCGTGGGAGGAGCGGTGGGGAGCCAGGTTGATGAGGGCGGGTGGTGCCCGAGTCAAGATGCAGAGCAGTAATGGGGGTGATGACGGCTCACACACGCAGTGGGGCTGAGCGCTCACACCCTCTCCCTCAGCGCTCACACCCCCGCGTGGGTCAGCTGGGGCCCCCATGGCGGAGTTCCACAGGCTCGGCGACTTCAGCCACAGACATTTTCTCGTCGTTCTGGAGGCCAGAAGTCGGAGAGCAAGGTGTGGGCAGGTTGAGATCTTCTGGCCTCTTCTCCCCGTATCCTCGCCTGGTCTCCCTTTTTTCTGGTTTCTCTTCTTATGAGGACACCAGTGTATTGGCTCGAGCCCACCTGATGACTGCATTTCATCTTAGTTAGTGCCGTCAAACCCCTTATTTTAGGTGCGGTCTCACATTCTGACCTTAAGGGAGTTAGGGCTTCGGCATACGAACTTTAGGGGGAGGGGACACCCTATGATGGGAGTGCTGTTTTCCCCCCAATTCACAGGTGAGGAAAGTGAGGCTCCAAGAAGCTCACCTCGCTCATCCGTTGGCACTAGCCCTGCCCCAGCACTGGGGCCAGAGCAGCAAACAAAGCACAGTCAAGGGAGTCACATTCTCTCCAGGAAGGCAGATTAAAAAAAACTCAGACTGACAGCGGGTCAAGTGCTCCGGGGAGACCCCAAGCTGGGGGACAGGTGTTCTCAGAAGGTAGTGAGGGGCCCCTGGAGAGAAGAAAGCCTGGGGAGGACTGGGCCGTGGGCCGAGAGAGAACCGAGAAGTGTGAGGGTTTGGCCTGAGTGTCTGTGTGAAAGGGGTGCCGCGAACCGAGGCGGGGAGGGCCACAGAAGCAGAGTTGAGCGAGGGATGGAGTTTACGTTTCCTGTGTAGACTCGCCAGTCCCCTGTGGCCCCCATGGCGCTTTCGTCTACTGGCAGGAGCGCGGCTGCCTCCCTCACCTGGCGCTCAGCCTGCTGCCTCCTCCTGCTTTTCGTTCAGCATCGTAACACACATTTTTTCAAGTTAGTAGTAAAATGAACAACCTTTTGTTTCGAGGTCACATATGCCCAGTGCAGGGAACAGTCAGCATCTGTTGCATAATTAATAAAAGCCAGAGGTGGACTCAGCAGCTGAAATAGCCAGTGTCTGTCTTCACCTGCACCCCACTCCAGCCCTGTGATGACTTGTGGGGATGCACCATTCAGTGCTGATTCTCTAGCATGCCATGAAGCGGAGGCCTCCCCACCTAGGACCAGTGCCCCGAGTTGCTGAGTGGCTGGGGTGCCTGTGGGAGGAGGCCGGGCTATTACCCTGAGCTCTCGGTTCTTTCAGGAAGCACAGCAGTGGCGAGCAGGAGACCAGCATGCTGCCCTCACCTCCTCTTCTCACCACGGTGGAGGACATGAACCAGGTATGGTGTTGCAAGCTGTGCTCCCGCCGAGGAGGGCTTGCCTCTGGGCTGCAGGCCACAGGCCGTGTTCCGAAGCTTACGTTTTAAGAGGGCCTCAAGGCAATGGGGCATGGAGGGTCTTTGTCTTTTACTTTTTCCTGACGATTCTGCTGCTTCGGCCACGTGTAGAGGAAGCTCAGGGACTGGGCTGCCTAAGCTGACCGCCACCCTCAGGTGTGCGGATAGAAACTGAAATGAATCCAGTAGAAACAGAAATTCTAGCCCTCGCTTGCACTCAACCACGTGAGGCCAGCAGCTCTGCCTTGGGCGGCACAGCCATGGAACATTTTTGTCATTGCAAGAAGTGCTGTTCAGTGTTGCCCCAGGGCTGTGGGGAGCAGTGGGGTGCCCTGTCTCCTAGGTGGGAGTAAGACCCAGCGATCTGGGGAGGTGGGAAAAATGAAAAATGGCCAGAAATGCCATTAAGAACCCTCTTCTGTCTCTCAGGATAACAAAACCAAAACGTGGCCACCCAAAGCACCCTGGCAACACCCTTCCCCGCTGCCCAGCACACTGCCCAGCCCAAGTGCACCCCTCTACGCAGTCTCCAGTCCCGGCAGCCAGTGGAACGACACCATGCAGATGCTGCAGTCCCCGGTGTGGGCTGCCACCAGTGACTGCAGCGCCGCCTCCTTCTCCTACGTGCAGACCCCGCCGCAGCCCCCACCCCCCTCAGCACACAAGGCAGCACCCAAGGGCTTCAAGGCCTTCCCTGGGAAGGCCGAGCGCAGGCCGGCTTACTTGCCCCAGTACTGACCCAGGGCCAGCCTGCCTGCCCAAGGCTGCTGGGGCCAGTGTCTCCACTCCAGAGCTGACTAGCTGACACCAGCCCCCCAGAGGACCAGTGCACCCCTGTCCCAGGCAGGGATCCTTGGGGATGGGGGTGGTTGGCAGCTCCAAGCCTTTAAGGCCTGGCTTCTCAAACTTTGGAGGCATCAGACCCCTGGGTAACCAGCTGAAGACAGGTCTCTGACCCTCCTCAGGAATGCTGGGGGATCTTTGAACTTAACAAGCACCTCCGGTGATTCTGATGCAGGTGGACCACAGGCCACACTTAGAAACACAGCTCTCAAGTTTGTAGTCCTACTGTGTGCGTTAGGAAGGCATCAGGCCTGAAGGCTGAGAGCAAAACTGACCATTCTTCTGAAACCCTCTCCCACCCCTTAACACATTGAGTGATGACCATACCAATCACTGTCTTTTATAGCTATTTTTCATATAGGTTTTTGTTAAAACATCTCCTGCCTAAAAATGCATCGACTATTTTAAGAAAACAAACACAGTGGCTGGAGGTTTGTTCAACACTATCTTTATTTAAGCTTATACAAATTGGGCCAAGTATAAAATATTTGTGATCAGAGGCAATCACCTGGGTTTTCTGTGGGTGGGCAACCTGTCGCCACTTCAGCAGCACGCAGGGGTGCGACCTTTACCAGATTCATATATGCAGAATCGTAAAAGTGATGTCGGAGACAAATTCCTGGTGGTGCGTGGAGCTGAGCCAGCTGGCGCTGTCGTGTGTGGGATCGAGTCGCACCAGCCGCCTCGGTCCTTCCACACGACCTCAAAACACACAGTGCAGTCACAGGGCTGCCCAGTGGCACCTGTGCTTGAAATTGCAGTGACATTTGTGAGCTGGCTCAGGACAAACTGATGAAGGTGTAGATAGGAATTAAAGTCTGTAGAAAACAGAAAACCACCTCATTTTCAGTTACACGTGCCATTAAGTAGATAACACCCTGTGGATTTCAGAATATGTCCAGCCAGGATGGATCCAGAAGAATTGAATGGTGCTTAAATTGAGAAATAAATATATCTATATAGACTAGACATATCCCACTGTATATTAATTGAGGTTACAGAAGTTCTTTATATAAAACTTATTTAAATTTTTCATATTTCATCTTTGAAAAAGTCTAATTGAGAAAAAAAATCCATAATATTTTCTGGTATGAAAGTTTGACAGTATTAATATTTTTTTTATATTTTCGTAAACCATTAAACCATTTTAATATATGTTAACTACTAATAAATGGTTTATTCTTATTAACTCCACATAAGCTTTTCCAGCAGAGATTGTAATAACACATTTATGTTCTCATTTTTCTACGGATATAAGTAAATTTATATTTAAAAAATACCAAAAAGAAGATATATATATGTACGTATACACACTAATGATAGCGGACCCTTAGGGTGTCTGAGCCCAGCCATCTGAATTCTTAGTACTGTGTCGCCAGGCTGTCGCCGGGCCTCGGGTGTTGTCTTCGTGCTGTGTGGGGATGCCATTGCTGCCTGTACTTCTGATCCTGTCACCATGGGTTCTAAACATTCGCCTCACCATGTTTACAGAGAACTATTTTGTACATAGACTTTTCCAGGCACGTGCTTTGCACCGACCCTGCGTGGCTCGTCTGTGTTAGCTGTCACAGTGTGTGCACTAACCTCTGTTGATGTTGTTTGTGGCTGTTTTCCTTGTAAGATAGTTTTCTATTTCCTTCAGAAACGTGTCCACAGTACCCTGTATTTCCAGTTTTATTATACTGAAGTACTCTTGTTTTCATCGTGCCTCCCCAAAGACCTCATACTGGACAGAGGTCCGTCCTTGATGCCCCAGCACAGGTGACACCAACATTGTTATTGTCACTTTCTAGTCTGTTTTTCTCCATTAAGACATTTTGTAATTGCATCTCCCTGGGCTGTGAGACCGTGTGAAGCTGTTTGTGTGGTCTCTTTGTAGGTGCTGTGTTCTCGGCACCGCCTCGCTCTGAACACTGGTGATTCCAGGTGCTGCGCTCGGCAGAGGGGTCTTGCCAAAGCGCATGTGTGTGCGTGTGTGCGTCCTTTGCATGACCGAGCTTGGTGGCCTTGCTCGGGCATTAGCAGGACATCGTGAGAATAGTTACGCTTCCAAACTGGAACTCTACATTTTGTATCTTACTTTTAAAGCTCCTATAAGTAAAATAACTATTGGCTTTATTAAAAGTATACATTTAATAATATTTTGTATCTCTGTTTAAAATGAGCTACCACAGATACGCCTCAGAAGCCCTGCCTGATTCATTCCTTTGAAAAACATGGGCCTCCCCGGTGGCGCAGTGGTTGAGCGCTGGGTTGCGAATCTGCCCGCGGCCTCTGCTGCGCCGGTTCGATCCCCGGCTGCTCCCTGGCCACCGGAGGAGGGTCCCACATGGCGCGCAGACCTCTCCTGCTGCCCGCTGTTCCCCTCAGCAGTGTACTTCGGTCCTTCTGCCTGCTCTGCTCCCCGCTCTGGCTCTGGTGAATTCTCTCACCTCCTGTGCTTCTGACTGTACCCAGGGCATCATGTATAAACAAAACAAACAAACAAACAAATAAATAAATAAAATAAACATGCCTCTATAAAAAAAAAAAAAAGAAAAAAAAAAAAGAAAAACAACCCAAGTTAATTTCCAGGCCAGCCCATCATCTGCCAATTCTGAGCCACTGCAAAGGGGAGGACCACCTTGGGGTGTCAGGAGGAGCTGGGATGGGTGGGCAGGCAGCAGAATCACCTAGCACACCTCCCCTGCTGGCTCCTGAGAGCCAGAGCTGGGGGAGGGCTCAGAGTGGAGCCAGTATGGTGGGGAGGGGCCCACCTAGGAGGATGTGAGATCTCCCCTAGGTTGAGGTCCGCCGGCACCCATATTCCAGCAGCCATGGGCACGGCAAGCTGCCCAGGCCGTCTCTCCAAGAAGCTGATGTAGGGATGAGCTTTCCCCCTAACTCCACCAAGGAGCCAGAGACAAGAAAAACTAGCCTTGCTGGATGACGCCGTCCTACTGAGCAGAAGGAAAGGCTGTACAGTGGGAAGCGTGGAGGGAGGGTGGTCATTTCCGCTGGTCCTCAGCAAGGTAGGCCTATGTTGGAACTTTTTTTTTCCCCATATACATAGGCAAATAGCCTTTGAGCTTTAACATACCTGTATAAACCCCACGCAGGTGCCTCCCTGCTGAGATGCCCAGAGGGCGAGCATGGGCACCAAGTCCCTGAGCCTCAGTACACCTCAGGACAGGCTACTTTAGAAACAGCCCTGTAGGGGGAGGGAGCTAAGGAATACACTAGAAGAGCCTATTTTTAAAAAATTAGAGACCTGTGCTGAGGGTAGAGGGGGGGAAATATTAAATAGAAAAACACCTTTTATTCAGGTATGCTCCTGTTTCCCATGAGTAGCCCACCCAAGTGCTGCTCACTGACTGAGTCACAGAGCAGTAGTGACAGAAGAGTCTACCACCTGGCTACAGGGATGAAAGTGGAACACAGGTTGGACTGGAGCTCCATGGGCTCCTTGGCCCAGCTGAGGTCCTTGTGAGGCTCCTTTCCCACCTGGGGGCTCTTGGGAGGAGTGTCCGGCTCTGGGAATACAGATGAAAGGCCACACACCAACCAAGTGGGAGAGGTTGGGAGGGGACGGCCCTCCATGCACTGTCTCCCCCGTGACCTGCTTCCACATCAAGAGACAAAATAAACCCACTAGCCAGCTCCTCGGCGGCCAAAAAGCCATGTGCACAGACATCAGGACGGTGATCCTGCACGGGCACGTGGGAGTCTGGGGAGCCTCTGGGCAGGCTCTTCAAAGCAATGCACACAGCTGACCTTACAATGTCATGGGGTATGCTGCTGGGCCCAGGCCTCTGCATGTCTGTGAGGGTGTCACCAGACAAGAGAACAGTCCCAGCCTCCCCACAGCATGCGGATAAGCTTGCAACATACCAGTCACTGTCCCTCCTCCACTCGCTGGGAATCAGTGGAGTGAGGGGTCCCGCTCCCAAGCCCCAGAAAGGGCTCTTGAGACCCTCTGGTTAAGATTGCAAAGAGGACCCCACAGACACCAGGAAGGGCAGGAAAGAGTCAGGATTTACTGATTAGCACAAGAGCAAGAAAGATTGCTCTGGGAGGCTCTCTGAGCATGAGAGACTGGGAGGGCTAGGGCTAGGGGCCTAGAGCTTGAGGACTAAGGTATTAAACTTTTTTGGCTGAGAAAGCAAGTGAGTGGACATGGCTAAAGTCCAGATATTGTGGCTGGCTGAAGACACCCATCAGCTGCAGCTTGGGGGTCATGCAGGGCCTGAGGCATCACCATCTGCAAGGTGCATTTCACAGAGGCTGTGTGCCCCAGCTCCAGCTGACTTGGTGGGGTCTCACGGTCTGTGACTTATCTTGTTACAGGGCAGGAGAGGGGCCCCCCAGGCCCCCCAAACCTGTCTGCTGTAAATAGGTTCTGCCATCTGCTGCATCAACACAAAACATACGAGACTTTAATGGGAAGGAACTTTAATACAATTAGGAAATAATACAGGAAAGGCAAAGAATCTAGTTTCTAAATCAAGTACCCAAAGTTACCTGTCACCTCGTGGGTAAAAGTCCATCCAAATGGGACCAGCCCAGAGCAAGACCTCAAAGCCTGCCACAGTCTAAAGCATCTTCCAGAGGGGACCCACGGAAAAGGTTCAGAAACAACCAGACAAGTCAGGAGGAAAAAGAACAAAATCAAAAGCAAGACAAAAACCGCCACTGTCACCTCCCCCCGGGTCTCACCCACATGTCACCCAGTCCACGACCCAAAGACAAGCGCAGTTTCTTCACGTGTCTCTAGGCTCCATGCGCCTCCTCCAGGTTTCCTTCTGGCTCCATCCTGCTTCCTTCCTTCCTCAGTCTCCTCTGCAGCTTCTTCTCTCCCTGCTCATCTCCACCCTCCCTTGGGTGGGGCAGGGAACCTGGAACCTCCCCCTTTCCTGGGGACCACCCTGTTACAGTCTGAGTCCTTAACTGCCCCCTTTTCCCACAGTAGCCAACTTGCTATGTAGAGATAGCTCAGAAATGGTTAAAAGAAAAAAAAAAAAAAGAAAAAAAAATTATGGCAGCAGGTGTCTGGGTCTAGAGTCATCAAGTTTTTAATTTCTCGTTTACCAGCCTGTGGGGACAGTAAAATTCAAAACTTTTTGTCCTTGATTGCTCTCTTGTCCCTGTTTCTGTCCCAGGACCCTTCTTGTCTTGAGGGGACTGGAGTGACTTACTTGAGACTGAATGGGAAATGTGGTTCCAGGTGAGGAGAAAGCATTCTTTCAGGAGTGTCATGTTCATTTCAAAACTTACTAAGGTCACCTAGAAGCAGGGCCCTTGTTAGGAATCAGGGATGCAAAGAAGATGCAGTCTCTGCCCTTTAAATTGTCTTAAAATTTGGGAGAGACAACCCCACCTCCCCCATCCTTGGTAAGCTGTACCACCAATCCAACGCTTCAGCTCTTCTGGAAGAAATCCTAGCGTGTCCTCATTCAGTTACTAGGCAAGCCCTAAAAGTGTGTCTCCAAGCACATTTGAATTCCCCCACGCCCTTATATTTGCATTGTCATCTACCTGGTCCTCGCTGGGGCCTGGGGGGAGGGGAGGGGAGGGAGATTCCCAGACACTGCTGCTGCCTTCCCCTCACCTCATGGGTCAGTTGCCCGCAGGTGCTCCCCAGGACATCAGACATCAGTTCTCCTGGCAGAGCCCTGCCTCTGTCCCACTTTGTTGATTGCACGTTAGCACCCCCTTGCAATCGTGAACTCTGCATTTGTTCCTTGCACTAGGAAGACGGCCCTTCATGGACCACAAGGCCAGGGCGCAGAAAGCGTAAAGCCACTCGAAATAAACCAGAAAAAAAAAAGGCGTTGCCGGGCAAGTTGTTATTAAGCAAATTCTAATAAAGAGGAAAAAGAAACCCTAGACTTAAAATCTGCTCTCGGATCGGATTAAAATAATAATACACGATCAGGGGCTGACCCCAGGAGCTGTGGGTAGGACTGCAGCCCTTTAGTAAGCATAGACTTTTCTATTCTCGTGGAAACACACGCCTGTGTGCGGCGTGGAAGCTTTTTTTTTTTTTAAAGAACTAGTGGATTCACGGGGGAAATGTGGGGGCGACAACCCGAAGACACCTCAGGACCGCGCAGGCGTAGACGAATTCCGCGGACGCGTCCCCGGGCCCCGTCCCGGCCCAGCCCCGCCCCCTCGCCTGCGCATGCGCACATCCGCCCACACCCGGGAGTGCGCACCTGCGCGCGCACGGCCATTCCCGACGTGCGGACTGGGCTGTCCACCAGTCCCTCTCTGCGCATGCCCCTCCCGATCCCGCGCGGGCACGGGGGCGAGCGCGTGCCGCGCCCATCCCGACGTGCGCATGCGTGCGCACCGCCCTCAGGAGAAGGGAGCGCTGCGCGGCCGGCTCCGGTAGCTCCGCGGCGTTTCAGGAGGCGCGGTTCCCTACCCCCGGCCTGGTCACGGTGACTCAGCATCCCCGGTGAGCGCCCCTCCCCTGACAGCTCATCCACCGGCAGGAGGGATCGCCTGGCGCCCGCCTCCCCTCCCGCTCCTTCAGCTCTGGCCCGGAACTGCCGCCTGACCTCCGCCCCCCACGCGCCGCGCCCGGCCCCCCGACCCTTACCGCGGTGACCCCCCCGTCTCCAGACCCGCCTGGCAGCCTTCCCGCGGCCTCGAAGCAAGGCCTGACTTACCTGGATGCCCAGGCCACAGTTTCCCCATTTGTAGAACGGGGCTTTTGCTTGGAACTGTGCCCCGCACAGGCTCAGTTAGTTTCACAGATACTCAGTAGAAGCCAATTGATTTCTCAAGGCGGCCTCCACCGGTGGTGGAGGAGGGTCTTGCGCTCGCTCAGCCAAGTTTTCTTTCCGTTCTGGTTAGTCAGATCCTGGTGTGAGTGCACATAACCCTGCGAGCTTCCCTGCTCCCGCCCCGACCACGCCCCCCCCCCCCCCAAATCCGGGGTTCTGAGTCCTTGCTCTGCTGCTTGCAGACAGGCTTGGCACATCTTGTGGAGGCGATGGTGGTGATGAAGCAGAAAACAGGCTCTCACTTTTTTCAGAATAAAAGATGACCTTACATTAATATTTACCAAGTTACAGATCCCGCTCCACTCCCCAAGATTCTATCGGAGGTGCCACCCTGACAACCCAGAGACTGATTACCCTCTCTCACACCGCACCTTTCCTGGTGGCTTTCTCCCTACAGATCCTTGGGTCGGGCCCAGTGGGACCAATGTGAACGAGGTGGTTGAATTTTCACACCTCTTGCCTTTGTGCATGTCCTGCCCTTTCCACTTGAGGTGCCATTCTTAGCCATCTCCACTTGCAAAATTCTACCCTGTTAATGGGAATCGATATCATAGAGGTGTGTCTGATTGATGGTAAAGCAGAGCAGGGGTGATGGGAGGGGTGAATGGGGCTGCCTGCTCCCCCACTGTCCCTGTATTTTTTTTTCCCTGAGACTAAAGAGCCAGGTAGCACTGGGCGGTGACTGACAAATCTGCTCTGAAATCCAGCAAACGTGGGCTGATTGTCTCGGTGGTAGCAGAGTGGCTGTCCTGGATTTCTTTTTTTTTTTTTTTAAGATTTATTTATTTATGCATACAAGAACTAGGGTACAGGCCAGAGGTGTAGAGGGTGAGAGGATACACCAGAGACAGTGGGGAACAGAACAAGTGGATTGACTGAGATGCACTGCTGAGGGGAGCAGTGGGGCGAGTCCGGAGAGGTCTGCTGTGCCAAATGGGTCAGCTACCTGGCTGGGGATTGAAATCATGCTGCAAAGGGTTAAGCAGAGCTTCACAATGCTGTGCTTAACCCTTTGCGCTACCAGGGAGGCCCTGTCCTGGATTTCTTAACCTTAAATGAGGAGGCCAACAGGCTACCCCTGATAGGGCTGCTATGAGGGTTACATAGGAGAGAATTTAACACAGCTCACAGAGAGGTAACTGGCCAGTCGTAAACCACGTTATTAAATTAATAATGAGCTTCTTATGTTCTACAACTTTTTGTAACTTTTTCCCTCCTAGCTGCTGTGACTTATGGCCCTCTAGATAGGAAACTAGTTTCTGCCAATAAAGAAATTTATGTAATTCTGACAGTTCAAGGTGCAATGTTAAAGGTAAGATATTATGGGAATGTCTGGGAGATCTGGTATAGTTGAAGCTGCTGGGAATCGCAGATGCCAGGCTGCTGGAAATGTACTTTACAGACTGTCAAAAAGAAGCTGAAACTTTCAAAAAGGCAGTCAGCAGCAGCCTTACCTCCTGCCTCTTCTCTGATACCTAAAATCGTTCCTATGGGTTTGGTTGGATTGAGAAATGAATGTGGACAGTGGGAAGATAAGCACCCATAAAACTTTTGGACAGACCTGGAGTTGTAAATGACAGCTGAGCTCAGACAGCATCAACACCAAGGAAAGTCAGACACCTGTGTCAGCTGCAGACAGGCCCCAGGAACGTGGGCCCCGCTTTGAGGGGGTCACTGAGGCCGGCTCCTTAATACAATAAAAAAGCTGAGACTCTCCCCTGTTGGCACCTGAGTCCCAAAAAAGGATCATTTGATTGGCTTAGGTTGCATACTTGTCTGATACTATTAGGGAGGTAGTGCATGGAACAGGAAAGTGAGGGGTGGTGGTTTTAGACAAAGACCACAGACATCTGCCACGATCTGACTACCCCTCTGACTACTAGAAACAGGGAATTGGTGCCTTCTTTGGGGCTAGAGTCACATGAGAAACCATAGGGCAAGGGAATGATGGGACAGTGGCTACTCAGAATGGACTTCCTGTTGGATTTAGGGGTGCAAGTGCTGTTCTGGGCAGGCAAGAAACTGGCTTGGGATGGGAGGCTCTGGACTGAGTGATTCTCACGAGCTCCAGTAAAACAGCATGTTGGGGTGGTGCTGGGTGTGGGAAGCTCAGTGAAATCTCAAAGTTGACAGTTGATCCAAAACCCCTCCGGGTACACAGGGCCCTGAGAACAGGGTTGTGCCCTAGCGACCACTGCTGTTTTCAGACTTCAGCTCATCCCTATTTTTCATCTTCATTTTTAGGACCCAGGGTCATTCTGGGCAGGGAGAGCAAAAGCATTTGCAGAGGCCAGAGGTGGCAGTGACCGCATGGAGCTGGGAGGAGGGCTGGAGGAAGGCCTAGACTTGGGACAGGACCGGACACACTCCCTAGCTGGCTGGCCTCCGGGGGAACGGGGCGTGGAGCAGCTCAATTTGAATCCCCGGTTCTGGTTCTTGGACCGCTTCCCCTCTGACAACATTCACTCCCTCTCATCCACAGAGTCTCATCAGAGTCGCTACTCATTGATGACTCCAGGTTTCTCCACCTTGAACCTTCTCTCCCCGGCATTCTAGACACAATACACAATCAAAACCTCCACTTAGACATCTAGTAGGTTTTGAAAAATAACACATCCAAAAAATGAGATCATGATCTTCCCCTATTGCATCTCTCCAGGATGTACTGACAATTCAATTTTCCAGGAACTCAGGTATAAAACTGGAAGTCAGTTGTGACTGTTCTCTCACACCAGAAAATTGTCAATTCTTTTTTTCTTTTCTTTTTTTTAAAATTTATTTATGTGTACAAGACTGGGATGCAGGCCAGAGATGCAGGGGGTGAGAGGATTCACCAGAGACAGAGTGGGGAGCAGAACAGGCAGATTGACTGAAATACACTGCTGAGGGGAGCAGCGGGCAAGACAGGCGAGGTCTGCTGCGCCATGTGGATAGCTCCCTGGCCAGCTGGGAATCCAACTTTGCAGCAGTGGCTGTGGAGAGCTTCATAGGTTGCATCTTAACCCCTTGTGCCACCAGGGGGGCCCCTCCTTTCCTCTTTTATCTCATCTGCTATCACTCCCTCGTTCACTCCACCCCAGCCACACTTGCTTCCTTCTGCTTCTGTAGCATCTAACCTTGCTCAGAAATTCTGCAGTGGATCTTCCCTTGACCTGAGCACTTTGCCCCAGGTAGCCCACTGGCTAGCTTCCTGGCCTACTTCTGGCTTTGGCTCAAAGGTCACCTCCTTAGTAAGCTGACCTATTCAGAATTGCAGGCCCTAATCCCAGCGCCCTCTCCAGTTTCCTTTTTCTCAGCAGCACTCACCCAGCACCTCACTTGCCGTGTGTTTTACCCACTTGTCACCTAAGTGTCCGCGGCATCAGGGACACTGCTTGTAGCACGGAAGTTGCTCGCAGTTACGAACGAGTGAACGAATGAATGAAACAGAGAGGGGCGCAGGGAGCTCGGCCGCGGTGCCCCAGACACACGCAGGCAGCGGCGGGAGAGCGGGGCCGCCCTGCGGCGGGGGACCCGGGGGCCAGGAGGGCGGGGGCGGGCGCGGGCAAGGTCCGCCCGCGGGCGCTGCGGGCCGGGAGGCGGGGCGGGGCGGGGCGGGGCGGGGCTGGCGCCTGCGCCATAAAGACTGCCGCGCGCCCCCGGCCTCTGCTCGCTGCGCGCCGCCCGCCCCCTTTTCCTCCAGCTCACGTCCCGGTCCGTGCACCCAACCGGTCTCGCCATGGCCGCGCTCTCCCAGGATCCGCACTTCCAGAAGCTGCGGGAATGGCACCGCGAGAACGGCTCAAAGCTCAACTTGCGCCACCTTTTCGAGGGGGACAAGGAACGCTTCAACCACTTCAGGTGCGCGCGGGCCGGGGGGCGCCGCCTGGACGTGAGGGGGTCGCGCCCGGGCGCGCGGGGTCGGGCAGTGCAGGCCCAGGGGCCGGGGGCCGGGGGGCGGTCTCCGGGGGCCAGGGATGGGGACCCGGGCCCAGGCCGCGCTTCGTCCTTGACGCCTCCTTGAAACAGGTTCCTGGGGGCTCGCGAGCGCGCCAGGGGTGTCGGCGCCGCGCCGCTTAGTCATGAGCCCTGGGCCCCTCTTCGGCTTCCCCTGCACAGGGACAGCCCCCTCCCGTCCCCTTCGCTCTCACTCCCACGCCCAGCCCCCCACTCTTTGAGAAGGGAGCCCTTCCGCCCTTGTGAGGAGGGGCCCTCGCTGACGCAGCAGCAGGGGAAGGGCCCCCGAGCTGGGGGCCGTCTGCAGGGCTGGGCAGAGCGAGAGCATTTGCGGGGGGATGCGGTGGAAGGGGGGCCACGTCGTCGCGGATTGGCTTCTGCCGAGGAGGCCAGGTCCGGAGACCTGTGGCCAACCAGGAAATGGCGAGGAATCTTGTTGGAGGAAATCTTACGGGGGCCTCGGGAATGGTGTTGGGGAGGGGAGGTCTGTGGCTCCCGGCTGGAAGTTCCTGGCTCCTGGGTTCCTTCCTGGTGAATTGAGTAACGGTGGATGCTCCCGGAGGGGATGGGCACTCCCAGGGGCCAGTGTGCCCAGCGCTGTGTCTTCATATCCCTCAGCTGGGTTTCAGCTGAGGGAAACTCAGCTGTGCAGCTGCTGCCCAGCCCGGGTGGGTGGGCAGGTGACAGACATCACTGCTGTAACTGAGGCCCGTTTAGGGGCGTGGCACAGGGAGGATGGTTTTTATGGAAGCTGCTCTGGTCAGGGAGCAGGCTGGAGAGACCTGGGGTGTGGTCAGCAGCATCTGCCATCTTTCTACAGCCTGAACCTCAACACCAACCATGGGCGTATTCTGCTGGATTACTCCAAGAACCTGGTGACAGAGAATGTGATGCAGATGCTGGTGAACCTGGTAATGCTCCGCTTTGCGAGGCTTGGCCCGTGACCCACAGGTGGCCCCCAGGTGACCCCCAGGTCCTTGAGCACCTTTGCTTCCTTCCTTTTAAGGGACTTCACTGACTGCCCCTGTGCTGATGCAAAACCCTTGCGCTCTGCCCCTGGCTCAGGTCTAAGCAGCAGCCCCAAAACCCCTGGGGCTTGATGTCTGAGCAGGCCTTTCCCAAGCAGTGGGGAGGGTGCCAGGCCACAGCCATCTGTCATCCGCTGTTGGCTGCACCAAACCTTGTGATTGAGAGCTGGGACTCTTGGCCCCATGTGGGGTGGGGCCAGGCCTCAGTGTCTTCTCTTCCCAGGCCAAGTCCAGAGGTGTGGAGGCTGCCCGGGAGCGTATGTTCAGTGGCGAGAAGATTAACTTCACTGAGGTGAGCTGACCTGGTGGACACCGGACTCTGCATACACTCCAGGGCCTCTTCCTTCTGTTTGGATTTCATCGACTGTTAGTGGTATCAGTGGTGTCTTCACTCCTTCTCTTAGGCAACGCTTTTGCTTAATGAGGGGTGTGTCTTCCCCTAGACTGGCAGCCTATTCCGGTGAACGGGGAAGGGGGCTCAGTGTCTGCCTAGGGAGAGCCCTTCTCCGGCCTGCAGGGAGAGAGCTTCTCAAGGCTTGCTCAGCAAACTTAACTCTGATTTTTGCTGCAAGTCTTATCTTTTGACAATCATGTCAGAAGACCCACCTCCTCAGTGGGAGAAGTCAGTAAGAAGCAGTGTCCAGGCTGGTTCCTTGGGGGCCCTATTTCTGAATTTCCAAGGAAGCCTGGAACCTCACATGAGAAACCCTGAGGCTCAGAGCTCAAGTCATTGAGAGACAAAGTCAGCATTAAAGCTTTAAACCTGTCATGCACTGCTCGACAAGGCTGAAGGAGGCTGCAATCAAGGAGGACTTCCTGGAGGGTCCATCTGCCTATGGAGTGTGGGACAGGAATGGGGAGGGCAGGGTGGCATGAAGCTTTTCACCTTAGGGAGCCTCCCTCTGGGTTGGAGTCTGGAGACCATCCCTTTCCTGCCCACCTGGGGTCTTTAGACCTGTTTCTGCTGGCCTCGGCATGATGGATGGTTGCTCTCAGGTGACAAGGCCAGCTGCCTGGCACAGACTTAGAGTCTGTGATGGGGTTGCATGGTGGGAGAAGCTTGAGTTTCATGCCTTGTCTTCCATCTAAGGGGTGAGGGGCAATTTTCAGAAGGTGCCAGCAAATATCGTGTTTTCTCATCAGGAAGATGAAACTATTTTAGCCCACATGAACCCTGGTCCTCTGCAGCCACTTGGCTCTGACCTCTGTTGTCACTGCTCTCTGCCTTTGCTCACTCCTTCCTTTCCTGGACTGTTGGCTTCCTGAGCACCTCTGGGTCCTCAGAGCCGTCCTAGATTTACCTGGTCACCCCTTCTGTTGTGACTGTCTTGCCTTCCCTCAGGTCCTGGGGTGGCCCCTACATCTATAGACACACCATGGGGCCTGAGTGTGCGAGTGTGGTGCTGGCAGACCTCGGGCCTGCTTGAACGAGCTGGCTGTCAGCGCCACGCTGTACCCCTGGGCTCAGCTGGGAGCGTGGCTGCCCTGGGGCGGGGATCTTCACATTCTGCTTTGTCCCCAGGACCGAGCAGTGCTACACGTGGCCCTGCGGAACCGGTCCAACACACCCATTTTGGTGGATGGCAAGGATGTGATGCCAGAAGTTAACAAGGTCCTGGAGAAGATGAAGTCTTTCTGCCAGGTAAGCAGCTGCTGAGCAGGACTTGCCCTTGGCCAGGTGTGTGCATGTCTTTGGGAATCTGGGGAGCCTGATGGGCACCCCCTACACTCTCCTTGCAAGTAGGATTCAGCCCTGCGGTGGGGGGAGGGATCTGTGTGAGACTCACCCTAGGAACCCCTCACTGGCAGCAGTGGAGCAACCTCCTTCCTGAGCCATGGGCACCTATGGGCTCATGGGGACAGTGTGGCCTGGCTTAGTTAGAATCAGATAAAATAAAATGTCTTTCCTTGATCATATCCTCACCCAACTGTCCAGAGGCAGCCTTTGGGAGATCTTTTCTGATGTTTGCTGCATGTGCTCGAGTATATCCACATACACCTGTCATCTCCTCTGCACACCTGTCATCTCTGAAGCCCATACACAGTGAACATGTACGCACGTGGCTTCACTTTTCGCCCCCTCTCCTGCAGCTTCTTGGGCTGCTATCCATGTGGTGTCCCCGAGTCCGTGTCAGCGTGCCGAACTGCCTCCTCTCCCGTGTGCGGGGGTGCTGGGTTGCCTCAGATACCAGCTAGGAATTTCACATCAACCACGTTCATCTCAGCAGTGGTTCTACAAGGGCCTGCAGGCATCCTCATACTTGGAGTCCAAGGGTGATGTCCAGAGCCCTACGTGTCTCTCTGGGTGTGTCCATGTCTGTGTGTCAGACTTAGGTGTCACTGGGAGTCATAATCTGGGATCTGGTTAGCCTGTCCCTGACACTAGTAGGCTGGTCAAAGTCTGGTTGCTTTGGCCAAGAGCCATTTGCTGACCTGAAGTGTCAGGAGGTGATCTGGGCAGCCACAGGAGTGACTTCCTGGGGTGGGGCAGGCTCAGGATGCTGGTGGGAATCTGGATTCCAAAATGCCCCCTGCCATGGTTGGTATGGTGGGCAGGGGCATTTCCAGCCACAAGTTGTGAGTGGCAGAGCTGATGTGTCCTGGAAGCCTGGTTCTGTTTGATGAGACCGTGTGTGGTCAGGCTGTCGGGTGGACATCGTGGCCCTGGCCATCTGGGATGCTGTTTCCAGAGAAGCCCTCTCTTACAGCTGGCTGTGGGCATACCTGACTCAGGCTGCTGGGATATTTATAGTTGCAGAAAAAGCTGCTGAATGGCAGCCATTCCGTGGTGAAGAACACACCCATGGCTGAACACACACCAGCTCTTCAAAGTTAGCCAAGATGGGTGAGGATGTGCCCCAGGATGGATAGTGGTAGTGGCAGAAGCCAAAACAACTGAACTCTTTTATCAGAGGCCCAATGAGTAAAGTCAGCACGTCAACATCGTCTACCATAGTCCTTGACACGGCTAGGAATTAGGGAGCCAAGATTTCATTGACCTGCCATGTGATTCACAATATACTATGAAGTTGGAAAGGAACTTACAAAATTGACATGTGTCATAAAACCCCATCTGGTCAAATAAAGGTGTGTGTTCTTATATTAATAGATAGTCTGTGTTTCCCTTTCTGGGATGCTTTATTTTTTTTTTTTTTTTTTAAGATTTATTTATTTATGCATAGAAAGAACTGGGGTACAGGCCAGAGGTGGACCGCTGGGAGTGAGAGGACTCACCAGAGACAGAGTGGGGAACAGAACAACAGATCTACCAAAATACACTGCTGAGGGGAGCAGCGGGAAATACAAAAGGTCTGCTGTGCCATGTAGGTAGCTCCCTGGCTGGCCAAGGATCGAACTTCTGCTTCATAGCACTGTGCTTAACCCCTTGCACCACCAGGGAAGCAGATACTTTATTTTTACTTTTTTTTTTTTTTTTTTTTTTTGGTGATGGGAGGGAAGAGGAACTTTATTGTTACAGAACATTTACCATGAGATTGAGGGTTGAGAAACTGAGCAACTTATTTTGTTTGTATTGGTGGAAAGATTCCCATGGCAGTTGATCACTTTACTGTTTAAAAATAATAGAAGGTGGGCCTCCCCGGTGGCACAGCGGTTGAATGCTGGGTTGCGAAGCTGCCCGCAGCCTGGGAGGCGCCGGTTCGATCACTGGCTGCTCCCCGGCCACCGAAGGAGGGTCCCGCATGGCGCGCAGACCTTTCCTGCCGCCCGCTGCTCCCCTCAGCAGTGTACTTCGGTCCTTCTACCTGCTCTGCTCCCTGCTCTGGCTCTGGTGAATTCTCTCACCCTCCTGCGCTTCTGACTGTACCCAGTGCTTGTATAAATAAATAAATAAGTAAATCTTTAAAAAAATAATAGTAATAATAGAAGGTGAGGCCTCCCTGGTAGCCTAGGGGTTGTCTCATGAGTTAGGTCCCTGGCCAGGGAGCTGACCCACGTGGCCCAGCAGACCACTCCTGTCTTGCCCGATGCCCTCCTCAGCAGTGTATTTCAGTCAGTCTGCCTGTGCGGCTCCCCACTCTGTCTCTGGTGAATCTTCTCACCCTCTGCACTTCTGGCCCGCACCCTAGTTCTTCTACGCCCCAACAAAAGGAGTTGCTGCATCTTGTTGGTTTGGGGAAGGGCAGGTCATAAATGTTGTTGGCTGATGTGTAACAAATTGCTCCAAAACTTAGCAGCTGGAAACAGCAATCACCGGTTATGTGGGCCAGGAATTGCAGTGACTGAACTGGCTGATTCTGGTCAGATCCCTTTAACTGTGGTTAAGATACTGACCCTTGGCAGCTCTCCTGCCTGCCTGTGACTGTGCAGGTGCCTCTTTTTCTTTCTAGTAACTCTGTCCTTTTAAAATGTAAAAAAAAAAAAAAAAAAAAAGGACCTTGACCTAGGTTGCACTCCTCTAATGGATGGTCAGGGCTGGAGGATCCACTTTCAGTGTGACACAGTAATAGTGCTGCTGGTGGGAGTGCCCATTCCTCACCCTCTGCTGGGCACCCAACTTCCCCCAGGGGGAGCCATCTGAGAGAACAGTCAGAGTGCCTCAGGGTATTGTACGAGCTAGCCTCAGAAGTTCCCTTTGATTTCTTTGAAACCTTATTGGCTGCATAGGTCAGCTTCGGACAGAGTGGGAGGGGCCCATGCTACGATGGAATGTAGCGCCACGAGGTGAAATCCTGAGAACCACCCCGGGGAGATGGCTGTTATGGTGGCTTCTGGCTGGCAGTGATTCACTGTGATGCTCACCCCCCGCCCCCCAGGCCATATTCCTTTCCTGTAACTGCTGGAAGTCTAGACCCTCACCATTGAAATTAGGCACCCTGCAGCAGTACCTGTGTTTTTTTTTTTAAGATTTATTTATTTATACAAGCACTGGGGTACAGGCCAGAGGCACAGGAGGGTGAGAGAATTTACCAGAGACAGAGTGGGGAGCAGAACAGGCAGAAGGACCGAAATACACTGCTGAGGGGAGCAGCAGGTGAGACAGGAGAGGTCTGCTGCGCCATGTGGGTTTCTCCCTGGCCAGCTGTGAATTGAACCCGAGCTGCAGAGGCTGCGGATAGCTTCACAACACTGCGCTCAACCTGCTGCGCCACCGGGGAGGCCCAGTACCTGTGTTTTCTTTAATGTAACTCAAATATGGTGCCTTTTGATCTGAAGACATGAATTAAAGACCCATTTATTTACCCCTCTCATAGCTGACATGCAAGGGTGAACTCGGCATAGGATAACTGATAGAGAGTAATTCCTTCTCAAAAGGGGGAGAACAGGAGTGGAAGGGGCATACAGGAGGCATTAGTCCAAGGCCATTCTGAAATCCAGCCGGACACATGTCACTAGTTGCTTGGTTAGGGCTCAAGACTTAGGAATTGTGGGAACTCCCTGGTGGTGCAAGGGGTTGAGACACAACCTATGAAGCTATCCATAGCCACTGAAGCACAAGTTCTATCCCTGGCCAGGGTGGTGACCCACATGGCGCAGCAGACCTCTCCTGACTCGCCCACTGCTCCCCTCAGCAGTGTATTTCAGTAGATCTGCCTGTTCTGCTCCCCACTCTGTCTCTGGGAATCCTCTCACCGCCTCCCCCCCGCACCTCTGGCCTGTACCCCAGTTCTTGTATAAAAAAAAAAAAAGACTTAGGAATTGTTCCTCAAGGCTTTTGGCTTTGCATTTAGTCCTCCTTTTTTACAGAGAGGTGGTCTGTGTTGCCACGGCATGGTTTTCTCAACCCTCTTATTGCTGGTAGAAACAGCATCTAAAGGCCTCCTTTCATGCTCCTGCTCTAGAGTGTGCTTTTGTGACAGTGCCCTGGATTTGATCTTTGCCAAGAAACCAGCATTTTAGCACCAGTTGTCGCCTAGAGATGTGGAAATTTTCAAACAAAAAATTCCTGATTTTTTGTTATAAAGTTCTCTTGGCTCCTTTCTCTCCTCTTCCCTTTTATTGTAAAAGCCAGGCAATTCCTTTAACGCAGCCTGTAGCTAGATCGGCAACTCAAGAGGTACATTTTGCACCGTCCCCGTTAACACAGACAGCAACGTGGCTAGCCCTTCCTTTGCTGTATGATAAGGACTCTCTTTCCTCTGGTTTCCATTGTTTTCCTCCCATTCTTTATTTTATTTTATTTTTTCCCCTCCCATTCTTTAAATCTCCAGCTACCCCTTGGAGGACTATCAGGCTCCTGTTAAAGTCTCCCCTAGTGTCTCTTAGACTTTCATTAATTCTCGACTCAAGCACCTTTGAGCTTTTTTTTTTTTTTTCTTAAGATTTTTATTTTATTTATGCGTCCAAGAACTGGGGTGTAGGCCAGAGGTGTTGGGGATGAGAGGATTCATCAGAGACAGGGTGGGGAGAAGAACAGGTGGGTCGACTGAAATACACTGCTGAGGGGAGCAGCGGGCGAGGCAGGAGAGGTCTGCTGCGCCATGTGGGTCACCTCTCCGGCCAGGGATCAAACTCGTGCTGCAGTGGCTGCAGATAGCTTCATTGTGCTGAGATTTCAATCTCTGGCCACCAGGGAGGCTCTGGCCCACACTTTTAGGTTTCCATTATGGTAGTATCATACCTCTGATACCAAGATCTGCTTTAACTATTTGTTGTTATATAACAAAAAAACACCAAAACTTGGCCGGAAACAGCAATAAATATTTATCATCTCACATAGTTTTGGGGGGTTAGAAATTCAGGAATAGCTAACTGGTTGGTGTTGGTTTGGGACTTGAGGGAAGGGTTGTCATGGAGATGTTGGCCAGGGCTCCCTTTTTCTGAGGGTTTGGTGGTTTCTGGAGGATTCTCCAGGGGCGTTCTTATTCATGCCCAACGAGTGTCCTTATGATATAATAGACAGTTTCCCCAAAAGTAAGTGACAGGGGAGAGCAAGGCAGAAGCTGCGAGGCCATTCCTAACCCAGCTTCTGCCGTCTATCATCTTGGCTGCGTCCTGGGGTGCACAGGGCAGCCTATTATGCCCTGGGGCAAGGGGCTCAGGGATGAGTCCCCAGAGGCCGAGTCATTAGGGTCCTTGAGGAGGATGCCTGTCTGATACCCATCCCGTACACAGACCAGTCACAAGTTGGCACTGCACGTCTCTTGGTCTCCGACGTACTGTCCTGCAGATTCCAGCTGTGCTGCTGTGAGGTGGGATGTTGCCCACTTTGCTGATGATGAAACAGGGTCTAGTTGGGGGTGATGTGGCAGGGGCCTATCACTGGGTTTGCGTAGGCCTCTGGGAGGGCCTGGACTGGGACTGAGGTGGAAGGGCGTGGATCTAACTGCATCCTGGGCAGCAGCTTCTGCTCGGGGGATTTGGGCTGATGGCATCTCCCTCCTGTGCTAGCGCGTCCGGAGCGGGGACTGGAAGGGATACTCGGGCAAGAGCATCACGGACATCATCAACATCGGCATTGGCGGCTCCGACTTGGTGAGGAGAGGGCTCTGCCCAGCCTTGGTTTCTCCAGCGATGGGAATTGGCTGTCCCCACCTCTTAGGGGCTCTGGAGTTATCTAATGCCCCTCTCCCCACAGGGACCCCTCATGGTGACCGAAGCCCTCAAGCCATACTCTTCAGGAGGTCCCCGGGTCTGGTTTGTCTCCAACATCGATGGGACCCACATTGCCAAAACTCTGGCTGCACTGAACCCCGAGACCTCCTTGTTCATCATCGCTTCCAAGGTACAGACTGGGGACTCAAACTGGCTCCCCAGTGTTTGGGGTCGGGGTGGGGCAGGGTTGGTGGGTGCTTTCCCAATACCCTGGGCACCGGATCCTCCTGAGGACCTGAGTGTGCTCGCTTTGTGGATTTGGCCAGTACAGCTGTCCTCACACTGCTGCTTGTCCCTCTGCAGGCTTGATTTACCCTCTGAAAGCCCACATTCGTCAATTTCAACCTTGGCCTGCAGGCCCCTCTTGCTTTGAGGGATCTGCTCAGCCTGGGGCTAGTCATGTGTTTCTTAGAGATCTGTCCCAAATGTCTGCTTTCTGACCCTAGAAGTGTATCCAGATTATGATGTAAAGGTTTTGTCTATAGTCATTTTGCCCAATTTAATCACATCAGTGTGCGGGAAACAGGTCTTCCATTTGAATCCTGAGATATAGTCTAGTCTGGGAGGAAGGGCACCCCAGGCGAGGTCACAGCCCCTCTGGAAGATGTCCTGGCCTTGACCAGAATGTGGGGTGGAGCGGGGCACAGGGGAGTTGTGCCTTCTCCTAGGACCCCTACCACCACTCCGTTGCAAAGTTCTGGAATCACAGGATGACGCTGCCACTTCTGGGCCCCACCCAGACACATCCACTCACATGGTGGAGGTGATGTGGCGTGACTGTCACTGGCCCTCATGCACTGGCAGCCGGGCACCCTGGTGGCCTCTGCTGCTGGGTCCTGGCTTGAGGCTCCACGCAGCTGAGCTGGGGACTGACCACTCTACTCTCTTGCTGCAGACCTTTACTACGCAGGAGACCATCACAAATGCAGAGACTGCCAAGGAGTGGTTTCTTTTGTCCGCCAAGGATGTGAGTACTAGGGTGGGTGGTGGGTGGTACATGAGGTGGGGGGCACTGGGTGGATTTCCTTACCTGCCCACCCCCTGCATGGCCAGGCCTCTCCTGATAGCCTGATTTCCCCTTAAGCTGGCAGTAGGAGGCAGCATCTCTGGTGCCCACCTTTTCTGCTTGAAAGTATTTGGCTTTGCCAGCCCCGACACCCCAAACATGACAAAACCTGCTCTAGCAGCCCTTTCTTTAAGGCTCCTGGGCCCAGTGAGATCTTCTGCCCTGGCCGCACCCACTTTACAGGGGAGGCACATTCCTGGGCCTTGTGTGAGGAGGATGTGAGGAGGATGGGCAGGCTGGCCTCTGAGCCCTCTGCCCTCGTGACCTGGACATCAGGCTCCTTCAGCATCCTCAGAACCCAGGGCAGGGAACGGTGGGTCCTTGGTTTCTGCAGAAATGGGAGGGTCATCGCCCTAGTTGGCCCTGGGTGGGTTCACTGTGACCTGGTCTGTCTCTTGCAGCCCTCTGCAGTTTCGAAGCACTTTGTTGCCCTCTCCACCAACACGGTAAGTGTCTGTGTGGGCCACCCCTCACACAGCCTCTCCCCCGCAGAAGTCATTAACCCTGGGTCATGACCTTTCAGGGTACAAAAGCTGTGATGTGGTTCCCAGGTTTGGGGCCCTTAGCCCTTCCAATGAGATGGAAGCCGGTTGCCTCTGAGGGGTGTGGGTGGTCAAGGGTCCTTGTCTCTTCTTCATTCTTCCGTTAAATGTCTGTAGCTCTGACGAGGCCTTGCAGTTGGTGGTATTAATCCCGTCTGTCTCCCAGCCTAATTTCCTGAGCACCCCATGCACAGGACCTCCCTTGGCCTCTGCTCTACTGTACCGGCCTCTCCCAAGTAGGCTGTGCTGGGCAGGAGTGGGGGCTGCAGTGAAGGGAGGACTTGGCTCGGGGATTGGTGAGTCAGTGATTCTAGCGTAGCGTGTGGGTCACCTGCCTGCCAATTCTCCAGCTTACCTGTGCAAGGTGGCACGGAACTGGATAGGCAGAGCAGGCTGGGCTGTGCTCTGGAGCAGACAGTGCCAGCTCTTGTGAGCAGCTGCCGCATGCTGGGTGTTGTTAGAGCCAAGATCTTTGTGAGCAGCCCCTCACGCCCTCACTGCATCCCTTCCCCAGGGCTCATCCTGAGACAGGAGAGAATCTTAGGACTGTCTGACCACAGCACCATTCTCTGCCCCCTGATGGCCGAGCTCACACCAGTCATGAGGGCCTAGGAAAGGGGTTGCTGCCTGTGTCTGCCCAGGGGCCGGAGTATGTGAGGACTAGGGCTGCCATCTGTCAAAGGCTGCCTGGGGTAGTCGCCCCCCCCAGATCCTCCAGTGCTTTAGCGGGTGTCTGAGCTTGGCCCTAGCCAGTGCTCAGGGTCAGCCCTCGGCTGGGTTCCCAGGTATCTTGGGGAGCTGCTGCCCTTGACAGACATAGAATGGTGTGTGGGCCCGCTCCTTGCAGGGGACTTTGCTGGCGCCAGATCACTAGTGTGCTGCGTGCAGGCCACCTGCAGTCCAACTCGAGTGGGGGCAGCTCCTGGTCTCTACCCTCCTCCACAGGCCACCCCAGCCCTGCCCCACCTGGTACTCAGGAAGGTGGGGGTGCTCCTGCAGCATGAACAGCATGTCTCGTGTCCTAGTGTGCCAGCTAACGCGTGCTTCCTTCTTCCTGCCCTTTGTCCTTTCTAGGGTAAAGTGAAGGAGTTTGGAATTGACCCTCAAAACATGTTCGAGTTCTGGGATGTAAGTAAAGGCACTTCCTTGTGCTGGGTGAATTCTGTGTCCTTTGCCAAGTCATGAGCATTGAGCCAAGGATGAGGGGCTGTGAGGTCAGATCAACATTTATTGAGCACCTCCTGCATGTCCGGCTTTGAAGAGGCAGAGAGGAGATCCTTAGAGAGACTTGTGGGGTGGGAGCAGCCCAGTCAGGACAGGGGTGCCGCTTCCATCAAGGATGAGCCCAGTTTGCAAGGCCTGGGTGGCACTCCCCTGGGTGGGGTAACCAGAGCCGCCCCTGCCCGCCTCACTAAGCTGAGGTGGTGAGTTATTCTCAGTGATGACCTTTCTCTGAACTGCAGTCACCAACTCTAAAGGCCAAGGGTCAGGGTGAGGTGGGAGGTGTGACTGGGCAGCCTGGGAAGGGGCCTCGCAGCTGCTAAGGGACAGCACAGAGCAGGTGCGGGCCTGGCCTGTGGAGCTGTGGGCCCTGCTGGTCACAGACGTCACATGGACGCCTCTGCTAGAGCCATAGCCAGGCCAAGCAGTGAGCAGGAGCTTTCCCTGCAGCCTTGCTGAGTGTAAAAAGGGCTGCAGCTTTGGGGTATAGGGGTGCAGTGCAGAGTGTGGCGTGGCTGCTCTGAAGTCAGTGACCGTAGCGGGCGTCATCCTACCGGGTTTTTCCCACAGTCCTGTTGACCCGAAGCTCTCTGTTTGGTGGCAACATCCCCAGGCGTCATCTTTGAAAGCTCTGAATTAAGTTAATGAGTTAACTTCTTTCTAGAATGGGAATAGTTATGTACCATCCTTGGGAGAATTGAGAAGAGTCACTCTGTGCCCTCTGGGGGCTCAGAGGAGGAACCCTGGTGGAGACACACTGTGCAGCTTCTAGCAGATGTTGCACACCTGACCAAGGAGGGGGAGCCACTTCCACCTCCCCCCAGGGACCTGGAGCCTGAGCAGGTGGCAGTCAGAGATGTGCAGTGCTCCTGCCACCCAAGGAACCCCCAGAACAAGTCTGTGTCCCGCTCCGGGTTCGCATTGCCTGAAAGTGCCTGGCAGGCAGATGCGTGCAGAGTGGCTTAGGGAGAAGCCTGGGTCTCCCAGGTAAGGCCTAGGAGTGACAGTTGAGCACGAACACATGGACTGGAGCTGCCAGTGAGCCCTGAGTGGCCAGGGTGGGTGCAGGGAAGACCTCTTGCACAAGACGGGTCATAGCCCGCGCCATAGTGGCTGGGGGAGAGCCTGCTTGGGCACTAAGAGTACATGTTGCTGGATCGAGAAGGTGCCGTCTCAGGAGCCAGGGACAGAGACAGTGAAGTTTCTAGAGCTAGGGAATCTCTCAGGTGAGATAGAGGAGTGCAGGAGAGGCGTAGGGCTATTGCTCTGGCTCTCAGGTAAGATCAGAAGCGTCCAGCCCGGCCACGGTATGTATAAATGGTGAGGCCTTGTCCACTGGGGCCAGCCATGGGCAGCTCCAGGATTCAGGATCAGGCAAGGTATGGGGGTAAACTGTATGGTCTCTCAGGCTCAGCTGGAGTCAGCACATAGTGGAGAGTAAATTTGGGTTGGTAAGGTTTGAAGAACAAGCAGGTACAGGTGAGTTCTGAGTAGGAGCCGGGACAGGTCAAGTACAGGTGAGATCTGTGAATTCTGGAATTGTGTCTTCATAATTAAGAGCTGTATCTGTCAAATAAGGCCCGAGGAGCCTTATTTGGACATGGACAAGTATTTAACCCCGTGTCTGTGAGTTGAGGTCTATGGCAGGGGATAGGTGTGTACGCTGGGTGTTTCTGACCAGTTCTGAAAGGTGAACATCAGGTAGTGGGTAGCTGAAAGCTCATATGAAATGATGTGAACTTTGAATTTAGGATTAGGCAAACGTAGGTGAGTCCCCTGTGCCAGGTCAGCCACCTGGTTCTCAGCATCCTGAGCAGGTGTGATGGGCAGAGGGCAGAGTGTTGCCTGAGGATCTATAATCAGTCCAAGGCGTGGTCTGTGCCTTTGGGGTCTGACTGGGGTGGGGTATGAGAAGCCCAGATTAGGGAGAGCTGGGAACGTACCTGGTTATGAAAGGTAAGGACTGGGGAGTTGGAGCACATGGAGGACAGACGGGTGAACTGACTGCAGTGCTCTGTCAGGAAGGTGTGGCCTAAGAGTACATGACAGGTCAGGGTCTAGAGGCCTGTGCCAGGAGGGCCACTCAGACACTCTCCGGCGCCACTGGACTCTCTCCAAGGTTTCTTCAGGCTGAGGTGAGCAGCCAGGAACCTGTCAGGTGAAGGGACATGTCCGTCAGGTTAGGTTTGCATGGTGGGTCTGCTGAGGTCTCCCTGAGCTCTCAGCTGGCATTACAAGTTCTTTAGGGAAGGCCGGAGGAGCCGAGATGAGGCACATGAGGTAGAACTGGGTCATTGCGTGAGGTCACTGGAGCCAGAGATGGGCAGATGGCTGAGTCTGGTAAGTGAGGACTGAAATCCATGATGGGGCCCAGGTCACGAGTGTGTCCTCAGGTGAGGCCTGAGCAATTCTGGCGATGCACAGCTCCATGGGCCTGGAGTTGGTCCTGCATCCTTCTGGAGGGCTTATGAGTTCTGGGTCTGCCTCAGGCGTGTAAGCAGGTCTCTTAGGTGAGGCTTGAGGAGTTGAGGTAAGATACATGTTTTGTACTTTTGGGTCTCAGGTGGGGTCTGAGCTGCTAAGGTCGGGATCTGGTTTGTCCTCTGAATCTGGGTCGCGCACAGGTGAGATTGCTGTGTTTTTCAGGTGATATTTATGAAACCAAGGATGGATAGACGTGTGGCCTGAAAAGCCACACTTAGTTCTGAAACTCTGTCCCACACTTGAGCTGAGGCCCAGGAAGGTCAAGCAGACCTGTCAGGTGGCCTGGGTCACCATCTAGTGTGGTTCTCTTAGACCTCCGAGAATCTCAAGTGATGACCAGTGGATAGAGCTTTCAGGTGAGATCTGAGGGGCAGGATTGGGCACACGGGAATAGATCTGGATTTCCTAGGTAAGGTCAAGGTAGGCACATACAACTTTCGGTGCTAGCTTATGAGGTTGAGGCGTGGCGGCCAGGCATAGAATTGAGTTTTTCAGGTAAGGTCTAAGGAATCTACGCTCGGCATGGATTTGTATCCTTGGGTCTCTCAGCATGGTTAAGCACAGGTGTGTAGAGCTGGGTTTGTCAGGTAAGGTCTATGAAGCCAGAAACACAGCAGGTTCACAAAACAGGGCCTGTTCGGTGAGTTACATTGGAGGCTAAGTAAGAACCAGATGTCTTGAACGAAATGTGAGCAACTGATATAAGGTACAAGGAGGTAAAGCTCGTCTGCCAAGTGCAGTCTCAGGTCCCAGGAAGACGCACAGGTAGGTGGAACTGGCCTGCCAGTTGTCATCTGTGGAGCCACAGCCAAGTGCAGAAATATAGAAATGACTTGGAGGTGTGGTTTGCAGAGCACAGGGCTAAGCACAGGTAGGCAGAAACAGCCTGCCAGTTATCAGAAGAGTCAGGATCAAGTACAGGTAGGTAGAGCTGGCCCACCAAGTGTCATCCAAGGAGCTAAAGTGAAGCACAGGTAGGCAGAACTAGCCTGCCAGGTGTGCTGTAAAGAGCTAGAGTCAAGAACTAGTAAGTAGTATCCATTCCCCTACCAGGACTGGACAGAGCAGCCAGCATCAAACACAGGTAACAGAGCTGATGGCCAGGTGTGGTCTGAGGAGTCAAGGTGAAGCACAGGTAGGTAGAACTGGTCCACCAGATGAGGTCTGAGAACCCAGGGTCAAACAGAGGTAGGTGAAGCAGGCCCTCCAGGTGCGATTGGAGTGACCAGGGTCAGGCACAGGTAATAGAATTGATATGCCAGGTGGAGTCTGAAGCACCAGCATCACTTATAGGTAGATAGAGCTGGCCCACCGGGTTACGTCTGAGGAGCAAAGGTCAAACACTGGTAGCAGAGCTGCACTGCAGGTCTGAGAAGTGAAGGTCAAACACAGGTAGGCAGAACTGGCCCACCAGGTGTAGTTTGAAGGACCAGCGTCAAGTGCAAATAACCCAAATGACCCGCCAGGTGAGGTGTGAGGGCCCAGCATCAAACACAGGTAGGAAGAATTGGCTCGCTAGATCTGGTCTGAGGACCCAGTGTCAAACACAGGTAGGCAGAGCTGGCCTGGCAGGTGTGTTCTGGTAGCCAAGGTCAAATGCAACCAGGTAGAACTGACCTACTAGGTACCATCTAAGGAGCCAAGGTAGGCAGAGCTGGTCCAGCAGGTGAGATCTGAGCAGCCAAGGTCAAGCATGGGTGCAGAAGTCTGGTCTGAGAGGGAAAGGTCAAACTACAGGTAGGCAGAACTGGCCCACCAGGTGAGATTTGAGGGGCCAGGGTCTTATGTAGGTAGATAAAGCTGACCTGCCAGGTGAGGTCTGAGGAGCCAGGGTCAAACACAGGTAGGTAGAATGGGCCTTCCAGGTGTGGTCCAAGGACCTAGTGTCAAACACAGGTAGGAAGAACTGGCCTGCCAGTTGTGTTCCGGGGAGCCAAGGTCAAGTATGGATAGGCAGAACTGACCCTCTCGCTGCAGTATAAGGAGCTGGGGTAATGTATTCATAGTCTGAGCTGGCCGGCCAGGTGAGGTCTGGACCCAGCATCAGTCACAGGTAGGCAGAGTTGGTCTGCCAGATGAGGTCTGAGGAGTCCAGGTCAAGCACAGGTTAAACAAGGCTGGCCTTCCAGTTGAGGTTGGAGTGACCAGGGCAGAGTCAGGTAGGCAGTGCTGACTTGCCAGGAGTGTTCTGAGGACCCTGGGTCAAGCCACAGGTGAGCTGAGCCCACCCACCGGTGTCATCTAAGGAGCCAAGGTCAGGCACCAGTAAGCAGAGCTGGCTCTCCCGTGCAATGTGAGGAACCAGGGGTATGTATATTGCCTGCCAGGTGTGGTCTGAGGAGCCGAGGTCAAGTACAGGTAGGCACAGCTTATCTGCCAAATTTGGTCTAAGGACCTATCATCAGGTACAGGTAGGTAGCGCTGTCCCGCCAGGTGTGGTCTGAAGAGCCAAGGTCAAGCACAGGTAGGTAGAGCTGGCCTGCCAGGTGCAGTCCGAGGACCCAGGGTCAGTTGATAGGTAGGTTGAGCTGGGCCACCACCACCTGTGATGTGTCAGAGGCAGGTAGGAAAACCCATCCGCTAAGGGTGGTGTCTTGAGGCTCAGGAGTTAGGGTTGAACACAGATAGAGTTGACTTTTTCAGGTGCTGTATTCAGGCACAGCCTTGAACCTTCGGGTCTTCATGTTGAGGTCTGAAGAACCAGGGGTAAGCCTGCATGGCTGAGTGGCCTCTCCGGTCAGGCCCTCAGCTCTGGTGCTTCTGCAGGAAGGCTGAGTACGGGACTCCTAGGGGGTCTGCGGACCTCAGTTTGACGTGAGTGGATGCATGTGGCCCTCTTAGGCTAGGGCTTTGAAGCCATAAGTACGTACACCTGGGTTTTGCAGGTGATATCCTTGGGGCCTGGTCTGGCTCAGGTGAGCTGACTTGGCTTTCTTAGTGACTTCATGGACCCAGGGTCACCTGGGCACAGGTGTATAAACTTGACATTAGGTGGGTTCCTGCCACCTATGTTCAGGTACAAATCAGCATCCCGAGCTTGTTGGGTGAAATGGGAGGGGCAGTGCATGATGGGTGTGGCTGAGGAGGTGGGTGAGACCTATAGTTGGGACCTCTGGAGCTGGGGCCAGGAATGGGTAGGTGGGTAATATGGACTCATTAAGGAAAAGCCAGAGTCCTCGTAAGTATGTGTATCTACCTCAGCCTGGAAAGGTTTGGGGCACCCTGGGGATCAGGTCGGACTGGAAGAATGTCCTGTGCCAGGTCAGCAACCTGTTCTCAGCACCCCGGTCAGGTATGATGGGCAGAGCTCAGGGTATTGCCGAGGTCTGAGGATCTATACCAGTTCCAGGTGTGGTCCGTGGCATTGAAGTCTGGTTGGCTTAGGGTGGGAGTTACCCAGGTGAGAAAAAAGGTAACTTCAGGCCTGGAGATAAGTCAGGTCTGGCTCAGGTGAAGCACAGAACATCGAACCTCGGCAGAGGAGCTGCATCTGCCAGGCCTGCTCGGAGAGGCCCCCCTGCAGGTGAGGGTGAGCTCCAGAGGCCCGTGTCCGGAGGTGCAGGTCAGACCCTGGCGTTGCTTGATTCCCCCAGAGTGAAGTTTGAGGACCAGGTCTCAACCAAGGTAGCAGCAGCCTGGCATCTGATGGTCTGAGGACCAGCTCTTTCCTCAGTCCACTTTCTAGTACTGAGTTGTTAGGTGAGAGCTGAGAGTCTGTGGTGGGTACTGTGATCCGTGGGGCTGTCGGGTAAGGGCCTCACCATTCATTTCATTGCCCAAGCTGGAAACCTGGGGTCCACACTTGAGTCTCTCCTTCTAATTCTTGCTATTTGATTGAAACTTCTGAAGCCGCCTCTGTCTCCCTCCCGGAGGAAAGTCATCTCTGTCCGGTCACTGGGGCCCGTACACGGCCTCCTGCTTCCGTTCTCACCAGCACACTTGCCTTTAGTCCTCACGCCTTCCTTCACCTTCTAGATTGTACCATTCTTCCTCCTGTCCAGCCTGTCTTAGTGGGTTTCCAGGAGAGAACTAAGCCCTCTGTCCCTTGCCTGTGTCCCAAGGCATTATTGGATGTCATGGATTAGAATCTTTCCTTTAGACCTAAAAGGGTACTAACCTCAGACCATCCTTAGAGGAACTGAGAAACATTTTCTGTGGGACTTAATTCTCTCACTATTGAGAAAGGCTGCTCTTGCCACAGGACCTTTGCATGTGCTGCTCTGGCTGGTGGAATGTTTCTCCTTCCTCACTGTTTGCTTGGGTAATGCTTGTTCATTCTTCAGGTTCGGCCTCAGGTTGCTTTTATCATTGGCTTCAGTACTGGCTTTCCTGCCTCCCGAACACTTCTATTTCATTTTCACATTTATTGGCATGATTATCCATTTTTCTCTTTCTTTCTCCAGACTGTTTCCACTGACTGTGTGAAACGTGGTAGGTGTTCCACAAGTGGTCGTTAGGAAGATGTGAATGGGGGTCTGAGGATTCTGATGATACAAAGTGGAACCCACATGCATGGCCTGGGAAGGCGCTGTGTGAATGGGAGGCCTAGGCCTGTGTCTGTAGGTCCAGGTCTCAGAGTGTGTCTTGGGGCTGGCACCGAGACTGGTCAATTTTCAGGTATGAGTCACTGGGTCTGTCAGTATCCCCTAAAGCAGGGCTAGACACAGGTAGGAGGCAGTGTGTCTGCCATCCAGTCTGAGAGGACTCGGGAGTGAGCACAGGTATGAGGCACCAGATCTGTCAGTGTCAGAAGGGGCAAGGCCAGGCTCAGGTAGGAGGCATTGGGTTTTTCGGTGTCTGAAGAGGTAGGAGCACGCAGGTAGGAGGGTTTGGGTCTTTTGTTGTTCAGGCAATTGTGTCTGGGTGCAGGTAGGGGGTGCTGGTTCTGTCAGTTTTCCAAGAGGCTAGAAACAGGTATGAGGCACTAGGGTCTATCAGTGTCTGAGGAAGCAGGGCCAGACACAGGTATGAGGCCTTGGATCTGTTGATAATTGATGAGACGTGGTGCAGGTATGAGATGCTGGATCTGTCACTGAGCTTGGAGGCAGGGCCAGACACAGGTATGGGATTCTGTGATCTGTGAGTGTCCAAGGAGATAGCTCGGGCGCAGGTAGGAGGCGCTGGGCTGGCAGTGTCTGAGGAGGCTGGGCTGGCACAGATGGGAGGCGCTGGACAGCAGTTCTGAGGAGGCTGGGCTGGCACAGGTAGGAGGCGCGGGCAGCAGGTCTGAGGAGGCTGGGCTGGCACAGGTAGGAGGCGCTGGGCTGACAGTGTCTGAGGAGGCTGGGCTGGCACAGGTAGGAGGCGCTGGGCAGCAGGTCTGAGGAGGCTGGGCTGGTACAGGTAGGAGGTGCTGGGCTGACAGTGTCTGAGGAGGCTGGGCTGGCACAGGTAGGAGGCGCTGGGCAGCAGGTCTGAGGAGGCTGGGCTGGCACAGGTAGGAGGCGCTGGGCTGACAGTGTCTGAGGAGGCTGGGCTGGCACAGGTAGGAGGCGCTGGGCAGCAGGTCTGAGGAGGCTGGGCTGGCACAGGTAGGAGGCGCTGGGCTGACAGTGTCTGAGGAGGCGGGGCTGGCACAGGTAGGAGGCGCTGGGCAGCAGGTCTGAGGAGGCTGGGCTGGCACAGGTAGGAGGCGCTGGGCTGACAGTGTCTGAGGAGGCTGGGCTGGCACAGGTAGGAGGCGCTGGGCTGACAGTGTCTGAGGAGGCTGGGCTGGCACAGGTAGGAGGCGCTGGGCAGCAGGTCTGAGGAGGCTGGGCTGGCACAGGTAGGAGGCGCTGGGCTGACAGTGTCTGAGGAGGCTGGGCTGGCACAGGTAGGAGGCACTGGGCAGCAGGCCTGAGGAGGCAGGGTCGGCTACGGTAAGGTCCTTGGTTGTGTCTCGTGGCTTTGATCCGTCATGGTGTAGTTGGCCCTGTCAGTCAGCCCGAGCGTTGCCGGCGCCTGGCCTGCTGACTTGCTTCCAAGAGGTGGGTTGGACCCAGGCACTCAAGCTGTCCCTGTGGAAGAGCATCATGGTCAGGGGCAAGTTCTGTGGCAGGAGGGAGGGGGGCGGGCTGTGCCAACCCTTGTTCAGCACCTTTTCTTGTCTCTCCTAGTGGGTAGGCGGGCGCTACTCGCTGTGGTCAGCCATCGGACTCTCCATCGCGCTGCATGTGGGTGAGTGCCTGTGTGTTTCCGTCTTGGGAGATAAGCTGAGGTCGGGGCGAGGGTCTCGTGTCCCTGAACACCTTCCTGTCCTCACATGCTGCTGGCCCCTCTGCTGTTGGCTGGAACATTTCTCTTAGGCCACAGGGAAGGCCCGAGTTCTTTTCTGGGTTTATAGGTTGCTCTTCTCCACCCCTCACAGCCACAGCCCCACTCACCTCTCGCACCAGGCAGGGTTTGCTGGCGTTTCACTCGGGGCCAACTCTGATGGGGTAGGCTTTTTGTAGCCCAAGTCCTCCAGATCCTGTTCCTTCTGGCTCCACGTCCAGCCAGATTTCCAGAAGCAATGTGCCCATGGCAGGAGGCTGGGGCGTGACCATCCCTGTGGATGCTGCTTTTGTGTTGCAGGCTTTGACAACTTCGAGCAAATGCTCTCGGGGGCTCACTGGATGGTAAGTGACGGGCTTGTGTTCTCTGCCAAGAGAATGTGTGGTTGGTCCTGCTCCCTGCCTCTCTGCTTCTTTCCCTCCCTCCTTGGACACTGCTCAGCTCCCCACCCCCACCCCCACGCCCTTATTTCAGGATAATCATTTCCGCACGACACCCCTGGAGAAGAATGCCCCCGTCCTGCTGGCTCTGCTGGGTGTCTGGTACATCAACTGCTTTGAGTCTGAGACGCACGCCATGCTGCCCTATGACCAGTACATGCACCGTTTTGCTGCCTACTTCCAGCAGGTACCAGTTGCTTGGCCAGGTCTTGGGGACAGTGGAACTTGGGGAGGTACCTGGGAAGCCCATGAGCCCAGGGGCCCAGGTTCTGGCTCCTTTAGGGACTTTTCCCCCTTTGCCTTTGGGTATGGCCAAGATTGTGTCTGTTCCCCATCACATGGTGAGTCTTCATGAGCAGCGGCTGTTGGATCTGAGCGTCCGCCGAGTTTGACGTCTGTGGGCCCTTGACTGGCTATCACGTGTCTTGGCCAGGCGGCCCTGGCCTGACTCTGGCTCTGGGGCCCAGCTGGGTGGCTTCTCTCTTGGACATCACTGTGTGTGCTGTGATGGGCTGTGGCCCCCGTGGTTTGCACTGCCCTTGCGCACCTACTCTGTGGTGCCTCTTTGGGCTACTCACAGTCCTTAGCCCTCCGAGTCTCCAGAGCAGCCCCTCTCCTAGTCCCGATTCTGCTCCGGGCAGCCCTTCTACCTCTGCCCCTGCTTTTGTTTAGCACATCCCTGTCCCTGCCCTGCCGCCCCTGGGCGGGCTCAGGGGGCTTCACCAGTACCTGAAGGGAAATCCTGTTGTTGAAGGGGGGGGCCAAGGTTCCCCACAGCCTAGCATCCAGTTGTGACAGCCCTCGAGACTGTCCACTAGACCTCAGTCTGTCTCTCCCTTAAGAAATTGGTTGAAGATTTTGACCCACTTCTGTTCTCAGGGAAGTCCTCCCCAGGCCTCCATGTTTGCCTCTGGCCACGCGCCCTTCCTGCACAGGGTCTGCCCGAAATGTGTGAACCCGTGTCCCCATGGGGAAGGGAGGTAAAGGGCTCACGTCCACAGAACCCTCCCAGGGCCAGGACATCCCAGGCAGGATTTGGGAATGGTGCGTGAAAGAGCAAGGCTTACAGGTGGAAGATTTCTGTCCCCACTCCAGGGTGACATGGAGTCCAATGGGAAGTACGTCACCAAGTCTGGCGCCCGCGTAGACCACCAGACGGGCCCCATTGTGTGGGGGGAGCCAGGGACCAATGGCCAGCATGCCTTCTACCAGCTCATCCACCAAGGTAAGGCCCTTCTGGCCAGGGTGGGAGTGGGGTTGCGGTGGGAAGGCCCCCTTCAGAGATGTCCCCATTGGGAAACTGCTCTCCTGTAGGCAGATGGGTGGCTCTGTGGGCTGATAGGGGGGTACCTGGTGACCACAGTGCCCTTCACAGGCACCAAGATGATACCCTGTGACTTCCTCATCCCGGTCCAGACCCAGCACCCAATAAGGAAGGGTCTGCATCACAAGGTAGGCCCCTACCCCGACCCTTGTCACGCTCTCTCAGGCTCATGTCACACCCCCACCTCCTAAGACCCAGCCATTGCTCAGCGGGAGGATTGGTTTTCGATTCCAGATGGTTAAGGACCAAGGTTTAGTTTTCCTTGCTGTCAGCAGTGCCGCGGACCAGCCCAGCGGCGGCGGGAGATCGAGACAGTCTCAGGGATTGAGAACGAGCGAAAGGTGGTCGAAGGAATTAGGGCGAGGGACAAGAATGACACACAGACACACTCAAGGGAGAGTGAAAATCTGAGTGCAATTTATTAAAATCAACCTTCTCTTTTTATACATTTCTGTGACAATTACCTAAGATTATTTTTCACAGTTTGTGGTAAATCATACATCAGATATGCAGTGAAACATAGCAAGAATTATTACATATTGTTTTTCACCTAAATTCCATTTAAGTACAATTATCGATGAATCAAGCACTTACTGTAATTTACTCAGAGGAGGTCTTTGTTATCCTAACCTTAACTTAAATATTACCTACATGGTTTTTATTATGATCATGTTTCATATATTTATCATAACATTAGTTTTTAATTACCACATACTATTATTTGTTATTAGCATTTACTATAAAATCACAATGATTACTTTTTCCTAGTCATATATTTAAGCATGTTCTAAAAGCAGCTAAACCAGTTTAAAGCATACAGCTGGGCAGTGCAGCACAGGGCTATTGAATTGTAAGTTAGATTAACGGTGTGTGTCTCAGTGTTTTCAGGCAGTGTTTGTTGGTTGCTTATGGCGCCGATGCACAGCAATCCTTTCCTGTAACATCAGAGGGGGTCTTTTCTGCTTAACATGAACGCCAAAGTTTATTATGCTGAATCCCCTCTGGGACTGCGCCTGTCTTAGGTCGTCAGGAGTCACAGACATGCGGCTAGCCAGTGCCTTCTTTAGTCTGCCCCCGATCTTACCCGTCATTGACTGTCCAGTCCAGCGCACAGGGGAAGGGGGTCTTACGTACTCTATTTGTGAGCATCCACAGTACAGCCACTCTTTATTTCATCCAATTACTGGCGATCAATGGTGGCAACAGTGGTATTGCCAGCCATGGAGGCAGGAGCCGCCACACAGCAGAGGGTCAATCTCAATTTCTAGAAGCCTCCTTGACTCATCTCTGCTTCTCTGCATCTCAGCATCTCAGCACCAGCCACGGCGACTTGAGTCCTCTCTAGCTTGGAGTCTTCCTTGCCTCCTCTTCTCACCTCCCTCTGAGAGACTCCTCTGCCGTCTTCTACGGCAGGTCCTCCAGCCATAATGTTTCACTCGGAGTTTTCTAACATGGATGAGAAAAAAACCAATCCCAGGGAACTCGGGATGAAAAGGTGTTATTGGAGGACATGCTTTCATTGTGTGGCTTTGCTTGAAGCTGTAGTTTCCAAGCACCTGTCGGCAGCGTTTAGTGAGGGCTTACTGTACTTTTAAGAGCCGTGTGATTATGGGTGACGCCTCTGCTCCTCGGGATATTAAAAGATAGCTGTCAGGTGATGCAATGCATTGCTCATGGAAGTAACTGTCACTTCTGTCAGGTGGAGGCTCTCGGCCCCTCGCTCCAACTGAGCTGTGCACTGGGGCTGGCAGCCGGAGCTGGGCAGGCACTAACCCGCCCTGGGCAGGGCCAGGCAGTCTTGTCCCTCTACCTGAAGCCAGGCGGTGCTTCCAAGCGGAACTGGACGTCTCTCTTCTCAGATCCTCCTGGCCAACTTCTTGGCCCAGACCGAGGCCCTGATGAAAGGGAAAACAATGGATGAGGCCCGGAAGGAGCTGCAGGCCGCAGGAAAGAGTCCCGTGGAGATAGAGAAGCTGTTGCCACACAAGGTCAGCACTTGTGGGGAGCAGGAGGGATGGAGCCATGGGGCAGGCAGGGGGACCGGCAGGTAGAAGGGGCTGTGCTCATACAGCGCATGTCCTGGCCTCCTGGGCGGTATGCACTTCCCTTCTGGGGCTTGTGGGATCATGACTAACTAGGGGACATTTCTGGGTGTTTTCTGAAGATCTTTGAAGGAAATCGCCCCACCAACTCCATTGTGTTCACCAAGCTCACGCCATTCATCCTGGGAGCCTTGATTGGTGAGTGAGCGGGAGGGGCCGCCGGGCTGGGCCAGGCCAGGCAGCGCCACGGAGCCCTAATGTCATTGTCCACCGTCTCTGCAGCCATGTACGAGCACAAGATCTTCGTTCAGGGTATCATCTGGGACATCAACAGCTTTGACCAGTGGGGGTGAGTTGCTGATTGGTGGGGGCAGTGGGGAGCATTTGCGGGTTGGCTTACAGGTTGTCACCAGCATCTCTGGAACCCTGTACCATTCTCTCTCCTCTTCATGGCAGAGTGGAGCTGGGAAAGCAGCTGGCTAAGAAAATTGAGCCTGAGCTTGACGGCAGCAGCCCCGTCACCTCTCACGATTGCTCCACCAATGGGCTGATCAACTTCATCAAGCAGGAGCGTGAGTCCAGAAGCCAATAAACGCATGCTCCACTGCAGCCCAGTTGTAACTCGTCCTTCCTGTCCCTCCTCACCAGAGTCCGCACTGCATGGTCCTGGCCGGAGCACCGTCTGGCTGCCAGTTGGGACCACCAACCCTTCGGGGGATGCTGGTCTGGAACGGCCAACTTCCCCCCGCCTCTGTGTTCACGGTCCTCCATGTTACAATTGACTGGAGTGTTTCAGTGCAACTGACCTCTGTTCACATTGTTCCTGTGCCAGGTAGAAAAATAAAGATGTCATCCAGGAGGTTGTAGCTTGGCCTCATGTTTATGCAGATGGTGCTCCGTGCAGCAGTGGGAGCAACCAGTTGGGAGAGGGACGCACCAGACGTTCTGGACTGAGGACGACTGTCCTCAGAGTCGGGAGAGGGAAGGTAGTCACAGTCACGAGGACAGCTTCACCTCTGTCATCAAGTCCCACACCTCACCTCTGTCACTGTGGAGATAATGTATTCTGTTCACTGGATAGTTTTTATTTATTTATTTTTAAAGATTTATTTATTTATGCATACAAGAACTGGAGTGTAAGCCAGAAGTGCAGGGGTGAGATGATTCACCAGAGAGAAGGGGGAGAAGAACAGGCAGATCTACTGAAATACACTGCTGAGGGGAGCAGCAGAAGAGACAGGAGAGTTCTGCTGCACCATGTGGGTAGCTCCCTGGCCAGCCGGGGAATTGAACTCGTGCTATAGTGGCTGGTGATAGCTTGATAGCACTGTCTTTAACTCCTGTGCTACCAGGGAGGCCCCTGGACAGTTTTTAAAATCCCATTGAGATTGTGTCTGTTTTGGGTGAATTCTGGCTAACATCAAGGATGAGTATCTCCTGGCTAGATACACAGGTAAGTTTTTCATGAGTTAGACAAGTTTTTAAACAGGTTACTTGTTTTCAATTGCAGATATTTCAATTCAACATAGTTATTAATGTCTAGACAGTTAAGCAGAAAAGGAGTTTTGTTTAAAGAGTCAATGGGCAGAGTTAATGGCAGCCTAAGGGCCATGATACAGAAGGATCTGGAAGGGGGAAGTACTGCCCCTCTCCCAGCCCCCGTGGGCGGGCTGCCTTTACCCCCTCTTCTTCTGGGTCATCTACTAATGCATTGTACTCTGACTTGGTCAAAATTCATTCCCCAGATGGGGAAAGCCAGGATTTGTGTTTTTGCTCTTGTAAGGGAAAAGCAAACTATAGCCACAAAAACTCAAAACAGAGAATATCCTAGTGATAGAAATTGGCCATATAGAAGAGCAAATACCAGAAGAAAAAAGTGAAGATTCACAGAGGCTGACACTCTCAGGATAACCTGGCTTCACAGGAAGGACCTCTCAGCAGTGGGACCGCTGAGCTGCTCCACCAGCTGCCTGTTCTCATGCCTTCCCTTTGCAGGAGGAACTGACACCTACCAATTGACCCTTTCTTGTTCACCTGCCCTTCCTCACTGCCACTGTTATCATTTGCAGCTTCTACTTGTCCTGTAGCTGCTGTTTATTGCAAATCTCGAGGAGGGTGTTAAGGGTTCTCCAATGAAATAGAACCAATAGATATCTAGAGACATAAAAGACTTGTTTTGGGACTGGCTCATGTGAACAAGGAAGATGAGAAGTCCTGTGCTGTGCCGTCTGCAATCTGGACAAGCAGGAAAGCTGGTGTATCATTGAGTCTGAGTGCTGAAAACAAGGCAGCAGATGGTGTTACTCCCAGTCAAGGCTCGAAAACCAGGAGCTCCAATATTCTGAGTGCAAGAGAGGATGGGTCTCCTAGTGCAACTTAGAGTGAATTTTCTCTTCCTGTTTTTTTGTTCTACTTGGACCCTCAATGGATTTGGTCATGCCCATCAGCTCTAATGAAAGCAACCTTCAGTCTACTGATTCAAATGCTGTTCCCTGACCTCCCTGGTGACCTAATGGTTAAGTCTCAGCGCCATCATAGCTACGCTGTGACCTGAGTTCAATCCCCGGCCAGGGAGCTAACACACATATCGCGCAGCAGTCTTGCCCACTGCTCCCCTCAGCAGTGTATTTCAGTAGATCCGCCTGTTCTGCTCCCCAATATTTCTCTGGTGAGTCCTCACCCCCGCACCTCTGGCCTACACCCCAGTTCTTCTATGCAAAAATTTAAAATATTAATAAATGCTGTTATTTTCTAAAAACACAGAAACACTCAAATGTTTTATCAGCTAGTTGGATATCCCATAATTCAGTGGTGCATAATGTTAACCATCACAAACATGTAACTGCAGTGTGAGACTGAAGCAGCTTTGAACATCGTTCTTTATTTCCTCAAGTACAAATTGAATCACCACTCCTGAGTTTGACAAAAGCTCCAAACCTTAACAGAATCGTGAATGAAGCAGATACTTAAAATCCACATATACAAGCACTTGTTTTGTTCACATTGTTCCAGGGATTTCACCATAATATCACAGTTGATGTGAAATTGTACGATTCCAGAATGTGACAACGATTAACATCTTAAATAATGAGACTTCTTGCTGCAATTGCATTTTGATCAAGAGACACACCTTGGGCAGCTCTCCTGCCTGCCTGTTACTGCAGGTGCCTCTTTTCCAAATAAATCTGTCTTTTTAAAATGTAAAAAAGGGACCTTCCTGGTGGCGCAGGGGTTAAAGTCTCAGCACTTTTACTTTTTTCTTTTTTTTTTAAGATTTATTTATTTATCTATTTTAATAGAGGCATGTTTCATTTATTTGTTTGTTTATACAAGCACTGGGTACAGTCAGAAGCGCGGGAGGGTGAGAGAATTCACCAGAGCCAGAGCGGGGAGCAGAGCAGGCAAAAGGACCAAAGTACACTGCTGAGGCGAGCAGCGGGCGGCAGGAGAGGTCTGCGCGCCATGTGGGACCCTCCTCCGGACTCTGGGAGCAGCCAGGGATCGAACCGGCGCGGCGGGCAGCTTCGCAACCCAGCGCTCAAAGGCTGAACCACCGGGGAGGCCCTATGTATTTATTTACACAAGAACCAGGGTACAGGCCAGATGTGCAGGAGGGTGAGAGGATTCACCAGAGACAGAGTGGGGAGCAGAACAGGCGAATCTACTGAAATACACTGCTGAGGGGAGCAGCGGGCAAGACAGGAGAGGTCTGCTGTGCCGTGTGGGACCCTCACCGCTGGCCGAGGCCGGCGCTGCAGAGGCTGGGGACAGCTTCACAGCGCCGTGCACTTGCAAGTTATCCTCAACTACCACCACATGAATCCCATCCCAGGCCAGGGAGCTACCCACATGGCGCGGCAGACCTCTCGTGACTCGCCCGCGGTTCCCCTCAGCAGTGTATTTCGTCAGTCTGCCTGTTCTGCTCCCCGCTCTGTCTCTGGTGAGTCCTCTCACCACCACCCCACCGCTAGCCTGTACCCCAGTTCTTGTATGCATAAATAAATCTTTAAAAAAAATTAGGGGTTTTTTGTTGTTGTTAGCGATACTACTATTAACCCACTTATTTCAGATGAAACCTTTTGACAGGACTACGTCATGCACCGAGCGTCTAAAGGAACCAGTCCCCAGGGACGCGGGCGTGTCTACGTCGCCCCTCCAGGGGCGGGGCCGCGCGTGCGAGCAGGCGGTGCGCGTGCGCAGAGATACGCTCCATCCCGGCTGCCGTAGTTCGCCCTTTCACGTGGGCGCCCCGTCGTCATGGCGGCGGCCCGGAAGCCGGTGCTCCTTGGGCTTCGAGACGCCGCGGTGCGCGGCCGCCCCACGGGCCCGAGCGCCTGGACGGCTAGCAAGCTGGGCGGCGTTCCGGTGAGTGGGGCGCCGGCGGGTGCTGGGGAGGCCACGGGATGACGGCGTGGGGGACGGCCCGGGGAGAGTCGGGGTCCGAGCGCCTCCCCTGGCCCGCAGGACGCCCTGCCCGCCGTGCCCGCGCCCAGGCCGGTGTGTGAACGTTGCGGCCAGCCGCTCGCCCTGGTGGTGCAGGTCTACTGCCCGCTGGACGGCTCCCCGTTTCATCGGCTCTTGCACGTGTTCGCTTGCCCCCAGCCGGGGTGCGGCAGCTGCGGGACGCGCAGGTAGGCCGGGAAGTCCCGGAGTTACCCCTACATTTTCTGTCGAGTGGGTGGAAGCTGGGGGCCGCCCCAGCCGACTGGGACTCGGGGGTGCAGTCCTCATGACAGTTTATCTTTACCCTTGAAGCTGGAAAGTGTTCCGCTCCCAGTGTCTGCAGACGCGAGAGAAAGAGGCACAGGACACGCAGGTAAAGTGGCTGTGACTAGCGCTTCATGTTTGTAATTTGAGGGTGTTGTCAGAAATACGTTGAAGACAAACTTTAAGCCGTGTTCTTTGAAATGTGTTGGAATGGTTTTCCTCTTTTCCGAAACCACAAAATGCCATTTCCTTAAAGTTTTGTGAGTTTCTTTTAGTATACACTGAAGGTCTCTCTCTTTTTTTTTTTTTTTTAAGATTTTATTTTTATTTATGCATACAGGAACTGGCGTGTAGGCCAGAGGTGAGGGGGGCAGTTGTTGAAGGGATTCACCAGAGACAGAGTGGGGAGCAAAACAGGCGGATCTACTGAAATACACTGCTGAGAGGAGCAGCAGGCGAGACAGGAGAGGTCGGCTGTGCCAGGTTAGCTCCTTGGCTGGAAATCGAACTTACGCCCCAGCAGTGATAGCTGCACTGGAGGCCCTGAGGAACACAGGTTACTGGTTTGGGGGAGAAAGTGTATAATATATATTGTGTAATATCTATGTGTATGTAGTAAATGTCCTTACTATGGTATATGTGAACTTCTATGTGCACATACAAAATATAACAAACAGGGCCCCCCTGGTGGCTCAGGGGTTAAAGTCTCAGCACTATCAAGCTATTGCTGACTACTGCAGCATGAGTTGGATCCCCGGCCAGGGAGCTACCCATGTGGTACAGCAAACCTCTCCTGTCTCACCCGGTACTTCTCTCATAAGGGTATTTCAGTGGCTCTGCCTGTTCTGCTCTCTACTCTGTCCCTGGTGAATCCTCTCATCCCATCCTCCACCCCCGACTGCTGGCCAGTACTTGTATGCATAAAGTAAAACAAAATAAATCTTTAAAATATAACAAACAGGTTTAATACGGCAAAAATGTAATTTTCTTGAATTAGAATGTCAGACACATTGATTGCTGCAGAACAAAATTCAGCTTTTCTTTGTAATTCTGGCTTTATACATTCGCTGAGACTTAATATGTGCTGAGCAAAGTACTAGCATAGCAATGTAAAGATGAAGATGGTGGTGCCTGCCAACCCTTGTCAAGTTTCAAAGGCAGGTGATAGAAGAGCACTTTGATTTTTTTGAACTGAGCACTTTTAGAATTAGGTTTTCAGTGGTGTACTGGATAGAAATGACTTCAGGATTGACCTCCATAAAAGAGCAGGCTAGTAAGCGCCTGTAATATGTGAATCACAATTGAAAGAGTCTGAAACAGATGTTGAAGAAACAACTGCCCCTGAAAAAGATATTTGTCACCTTCAACATGCTTTTTTTTTTTTAATTTATATAAGCACTGGGTACAGTCAGAAGTGCGGGAGGGTGGGAGAATTCACCAGAGCGGAGAGCAGAACAGGCAGACTGGCGAAATACACTGCTGAGGGGAGCAGCGGGTGGCAGGAGAGGTCTGCGCGCCATGTGGGACCCTCACCCAGCGGCCGGGCATAGAACCAGCCCTGCAGAGGCTGCAGGCAGCTTCGCAACCCAGCGCTCAACCGCTGCGCCACCAGGGAGGTCCCCTTCAACATGCTTTTAAGTAAAATGGGTCCAGAAGGTTGAATCAGAATGTGCCAGAGGCTAAGAGGCTAGTGTGAAGCCTCCCTCAGGAAGGTGAAGGGGTAAGTGCATAGCTAAGGCCAAGACATCAATGATATCACCTCAGGTGCTTGGACCTCATTCACTGGCTATTCTTCCAGAAACAGGAAAATGGCCTCACAGCCAAGGATTGGTGTGAAGGAGCAGATGACTGGGGAAGTGACAGTGAGGAGGCGCCCCCACCACAGCTTTCCTTGGATTCAGGAAATGATTCCAGTAGTGCCAGAGATGCAGACTGGACTGTCCAGCTCCAAGACCTTCGCCTGCAGGATAGTGTCCCGGTTGCTGCTCCTCCTGTGTCTTCTGGGGGAAAGATGGCCTTGTCCTCTGTGGTACCGTGGTTCCTGCCCTACTACATTTGTGTGGTAGACGAGGATGATTATGGGGACTTCGGCAGTCTCGATCATGCTCACAGCCTTCTGCGGGAATACCAGCAGCGGGAGGGAATGGACATGGAACAGCTGCTTTCCCAAAGGTGAGCTCCTGAGCCGCGGACTTGGTCAGGAAGCTGCCACAGTTGGAGCCCTTCATGTTTACTCTCATACCTGAGGAAACTTTTTGAGGCAGAACTTGTGTGTGTAGGACCTCTGTGTCTGTCTCTTTGGTTTGGTTTTTAAATATTTATTAATGGATACAAGAACTGGGGTACAGGCCAGAGGTGTGGGGGTGAGAGGATTCACCAGGGAACAGAACAGGCGGATTGACTGAAATACACTACTGAGGGGAGCAGCGGGCAAGACAGGAGGGGTCTGCTACTCCTTGTGGGTAGCTCCTTGGCCAGAGATCAAACTCGTGCTGCAGTGGCTGCCGATAGTTTCATAGGTTGCGTCTTAACCCCTTGTGCCACCTGGGAGGCCCTGAGTCTGTCTCTTTGGATGAGAATGGAAGACAGACAAAGGGATCTTAACAGCCACCTTTGAGTTGGCCTGAAAACACTTTGCTCTATGTATAAGTAACCTCAAGAAAAAGAAGGAACAGAACTTAGGGATGCTGAGTATTTACAGAAGAACATGTGTTCACTAGCTCTTGAACTCTCTTCTATTTTCAAATTGTCTTTATGGCTGAAACAAGTAAATCAGAAAAATGGCATTTATTAGTTCTTGGCTGTGGCTCAGGAACTGGCTGAGAACCTCAGATTCCTCTAGAGCTTCAGTGATCATAAAACAGGAACAATACTGATCCCTCTGTTGTCTCTGTCATCAGATGGTTTGGGTGAGTGAGAGACTAGGTCTTGAAAGGCCTTATAATCCAAACCCTCTGAAGAGGTAAAGCAGGGTCATTTTTGCTACCATGTAGGAATACATGGGGTAAGTGAAGAGATGGCATGGTTTTTTCACTAGAACTTTCTCATATTTAATGTTGGAGTGCATGAAGACACATTAGTATTTGAAAATAATCCATAGAAGAGAAAGAAATGAAGAGTTTCAGACCTTATAATGACTTTTTACATTGCACATATTGTCCCAGAGTTGAAAATGGCTAGGGAAGAGCCTTCCTGGTGGGGTAAGGGGTTAAGTGTCAGCACTGTGAAGATATCAGCAGCCACTGCAGAATGAGTTTGATCCCTAGCCAGGGAGCTACCCACACGGTACAGCAGACCTCTCCTGTCTTGCCCTCTGCTCCCCTCAGCAGTGTATTTCAGTAGATCTGCCTGTTCTGCTCCCCACTCTGTATCTGGTGAGTCCTCTCACCCCCCACACCTCTGGCCTGCACCCCAGCTCTTGTATGCATAAATAAATCAGTCTTTAAAAAAAAAAAGAAAGAAAAGAAAATGGCTAGGGGGAGGGGATTACTGTTGCACATAATAATGTGTTACATTTTTTAATATTTATATATTGAGTGCATATATTTAGTAAAATTTATTTTAAAACAAAATGATCTTGTTTACTCTTCTAGATAGTGTAACTCTCCGGATATAGGTAGTCAAAGGTGTTTTCTGCTTCTCGTTTTAGTTTTTCTAGTGATGGTAGTGAAAAATATGAGAAGACCATAATTAAAAATGGAGATAAGATGTTTTACAAATTCATGAAGAGAATTGCTGCTTGTCAGGAGCAGATTTTAAGGTAGGAGTTACTTTTATTTTTCTTAATTATGAAAGTGCTCTATGTTAGTTTGGAAAATACAGAGTGTATAGCAAGAGAACCCACATCCACAGTATGCCCCAAACCAGGCTATAACAACTGCTTATATTTCGCTATATTATGTTTACTTGTTTTTTATGCATTTGGGTTTTATGTGGCGTCCCTCATCCTTTTCATGTAATATTGGTGGTGTTGGATTAATTTTATCTATCATTCTGGTATTGATTTGTTCTCTTTTTATTGTTTTAGTTTCTCTTTTCCTTTTTGTTTAAAATTCTTCAATGAATTGAGTATTTTTGGTTTATGATTTTTATATGCAAAAGGACAGCTTTATTATAAAAGAGGGAAAGGAAATATGAATGCTTGCACAGGGCCTCCACAGTGGCTCAAGGGTTAAGTCCTAGCGCTATCAAACTGTGGCCAGCCACTGTGGCCTGAGTTTGATCCCCGGCCAGGGAGCTGACCCACATGGCACAGCAGACCTCTCCTGTCTCGCCCGCTGCTCCCCTCAGCAGTGTATGTCAGTCAGTCTGCTCCCCACTCTGTCTCTGGTGAATCCTCTCACCGCCCCCCCCAACACCTCTGGCCTGCACTCCAGTTCTTCTATGCATAAATAAAATTAAATCTAAAGAAAAATTAGAATGCTTGCACAGACACAAGCCAAGAGAAAGAGGTTTCCCAAAAGGGACAGGTTTGCTAAGAGAGAGGCCTATATATAATCACAAGTGGACAGCCTGGGGCGGGGAGCTGCCTCTGCTGCTTTGCAAAAGGAGAAAGTCTGTGAAGAGAAACAACTACATCTCACAGGCAGGCAGGAGGCCTGCTACCTGGTTTAAGGTTTTAATTTCCTTTCTTCACCTTCAGTTATAGTACCGTTGCATTTGTGTTTGCTTTAGTGATTATAATGCACGTTTGACTAACTGCAGTCTACTGTCATATTATTTACTATTTTATGATAGCAAAATAGATACACCAGATTGACCTTCCCCCGACCTTTGTGATCTTGTTTTTGTGTATTTCATTTCTGTATATCCCACAGTGCATTATTTTGGCTTAAAATACTAGTTTTTTTTTTAAAAGATTTATTTATTTATGCATATGAGAACTGAGGTGTAAGCCAGAGGTGCAGGGGGTGAGAGGGTTCACCAGAGACAGTAGGGAGCAGAACAGGCAAATCTACTGAAATACACTGTTGAGGGGAGCAGCGGGGAGACAGGAGAGGTCTGCTGCACCATGTGGGTAGCTCCCTGGTCGACAGGGGATTGAATTCATGCTGCAGTGGCTGCGGATAGCTTGATAGCGCTGTCTTTAACCCCTGTGCCACTAGGGAGGCCACGCTTCCAATAATAGTTTTAAAGAAATGTATAGAGCCTCCCTGGTGGCGCAAGGGTAACAAAACCTATGAGGTTGTCTGCAGCCACTACAGCATGAGTTGGATCCCCAGCCAGGGAGCTACCCACATGGCACAGCAGACCCCTCCTGCCTCGCCCGCGGCTTCCCTCAGCAGTGTATTTCAGTCAGTCTGCCTGTCCTTGTCCCCACGCTCTCTCTGGTGGATCCTCTCACCCCCACGCCTCTGGCCTGTTCCCCAGTTCTTGTACGCATAAATAAATAAATCTTTAAAAAAAAAAAAGGAAGGGCTTCCCTGATGGCGCAGCGGGTTGAGTGTAGCACTGTGGGGCTGTCCGCAGCCTCTGCAGCATGAGTTCGATTCCTGGCCTGCTGGGGAGCAACCCACATGGCACGGCAGACCTCTCCTGCCTCGCCTGCTGCTCCCCTATGCAGTGTCTTTGGTCCGTCTCCCTGTTCTGCTCTCTGCTCTGTCTCTGGTAAATCCTCTCGCCCTCCAGTGCCTCTGGCCTGTACCCCAGTTCTTGTACAAATGAAAAATGAATCTTTAAAAAAAATACATTTTTAAAAAGGAAATATATATATACACACACACACACACAGACATATATAATGAAATAAAAAAATAATTTTCAGAAGGTCTTATATTTATCCACTGATTACTCTTTTTTTGTTTTAAAGATTATTTATTCATACGAGAACTGGGGTGTCATCCAGAGGTATGGGGGGTGAGAGGATTCACCAGAGACAGAGTGGGGAGCAGAACAGGCAGATCTAATGAAATACACTGCTGAGGGGAACAGCCAGGTGAGTCAGGAGAGGTCTGCTGTGCCATATGTGAGTCAACTCCCTGGCTGGGGATTGAACTCAGGCCGAAGTGGCTGATGATAGTTTGATAGTCAGCTAACAGTCTGCTCAGATAGTACCGAAACTTTAACCCCTTGCACCTCCAGGGAGGCCCTCTTTTTACAGATTTTATAATTTAAAAAAGTTGTTAGAAATTGTATGTTGGAGAACAGCAGATAAAGAAATATATATAGTCCCTGGAAAGACAGGCCCCATTCTCTGTAAGGTCAGTGTGTGGAGGTCTGAGTCCATTTAATCTGTAGTTGAGCTGAATCTGGTCTTTGATGCAGTTGGTTTATTTATTTAACATTTTAAAAGGACACCTTTATTAGGAAAAGGAGAACAAGAAAAGACACCTTTGTGGACCCAGTCTTGGAGGTCCGCAGCCAATGCAGCTTTAGTTAGTTTCAGTTCAGTGTTGGTTTCCGGCCTCCAACTTTGAATCAGCACTGGCAGAACTCCAGTGCTTGATAGCCTTGGCTGCCAGTTCTTTGGCCCTTGGATTCTCTGGTTTTGTTCTCGGTACTCTGCAAGAAAGAAAGTTTGCAAAGCATGTTCTTAGCTGTCAGAATGTGACATGTTTGTAACTGTCAGGGACTCTGTTTCTTTGCCCTAGGTACTCCTGGAATGGAGAACCCCTTTTTCTGAAGTGCCCACCATCAGATGTCACAGACCTTCCAGGCTGCAGCCACTGTGGAGGCCAGAGGATATTTGAATTTCAGCTTATGCCAGCCCTGGTCAGCATGCTCAGAAGTGCTGATTTAGGTAAGAGGCCCTTTACTAGTTTGAGTTTGGGATTACTTTAAAGTGAAAGACTGTCTTTTCATTTTTTATTTATAAAAAGCTAAGCATATTATTAAAAATTTGGGAAATTTTCATTTAAGGAAGTGCAAATCAAAACCACAGTGAGGCCCTCCCTGGTGACGCAGGGCATTAAGTCTCAAAACTATGAAGCTATCCTCAGCCTCTGGAGCATGAGTTCGATCCCCCACCAGCCAGGGAGTTACCCACATGGTGCAACGGACCTCTCCTGTCTCGCCGGCTGCTCCCCTCAGTAGTGTATTTCACTCACTCTGCCTGTTCTGCTCCCCACTCTGTCTCTGATGAATCCTCTCACCCCTTGCACCTCTGGCCTACACCCTAGTTCTTGCATGCATGCATAAGTAAATAAATAAATAAATCTTTTTAAAAAACTACAATGAGATTTCACCTCTCACCACTTAGGATGGCCATTACCTAAAAGTGAAGAAGTAGTGTGTTGGAGAGGATGAAAGGAAAAGGGAACCCTCATATATTGTTGGTGGGATTGTAAATTGGTATTTCTAAATCTAAGCATATCATAAAAGGATTTGGGAAATTACATTTTACTTTCTTTCTATTGAGGTAACATAAGTTCACAGTACTGTGTGGATTTCAGGTGTACAGTTCTCACCTCAGCAACTGTGTATTTCATCCCACGCCCACCAGCAAATGTCCAGTTACCACCTATTACCAATCTAGTCCCTTCCCCTCTGGGAACCACCACTTTGTTCTCAGAGCCTAAAGGTTTGTTTTGGTTTTCTTTATTTTTTATATTCTGCAAATAGTAAAATCATAGAGTATTGATCCTTGTCCTTCTGGCTTTCACTTTGTATAATCGGTGTTGTAACTGGCAAGATTTCACCCTTTTCATGGTGGAATAGTATTCCACCACAGCAACACACACCCCACATCTTTATTCAGCTGTTTTGGGGGACTTGGGTTGTTTACTTTTTTTTTTTTTTCTTTTTGAAGATTTATTTATTCATGCACACAAGAGCCTGGGTACAGGCCAGAGGCATGGGGAGGGGTGAGAGGATTCACCAGAGACAGAGTGGGGAACAGAACAGGCAGACTGACTGAAATACACTGCTGTGAGGAGCAGCTGGTGAGACAGGAGAGGTCTGCTGCGCCATGTGGGTCACCTCCCTGGCCGGGGACCAAGCTTGTGCTGCCATGGCTGCAGTTAGCTTCATAGCTTGTGTCTTAACCCCTTGGGCCACCAGGGAGGCCCCATTTCTTGGCTTTTTGATGACAGCCATCCTAACTGGTGAGAAGTGAAATCTCATTGTGGTTTTGATTTTCAATCCCCTAAATCATAAGCAGTATAGAACATATTTTCATGTGTCTGTTAGATGACATTTTCATGTCATCTTTGGAGAAATACATGTTTAGATCCTCTGCCCATTTTTAAATCAGGTTGTATGTTTTTTGCTGTTGTTGAGTTGTTTATATGTTTTGGATATTAACTTCTTGTATGATTATGTCATGCAAATATCTTCTCCCACTCAGTAGGTTGCCTTTGCATTGTGACAACAGTTTCTTTCACTGTGCAGAAACTCTTTAGTTTGGTATAGTCCCATTTGTATATATTTTCTTTTGTTGCTGTTGGAGACACATACACAACATGACTAAGGCCAATGTCAGTCTTTAATCCATTTTGAATTAATTTTAGTATATGGTATAAGACAGTGCTCTATTTTTGGCCTTTTGCACGTGACTGTCCACTCTTCCTAACACCACTTGCTTAAGAGACTTTTGTTCCTCCGCTCTCAGCTGTATGCTCTTGTCTCCTTTGCCAAAAATTACTTACCCGCTTAGGTATTGTTTTTGGGGGAAAAAAAGATGTTTCAAAAAACTTACTAATTGAAAGTATCCTAAAAAATATATGCAAATTTATCAGAAGGTAAATTAGTATAAAACTTGCTGGACTTTAGGCACTGGGCCCTTCACTCAGGGGTCTAGTTTCTGAAAGATCATTTTGCTATAAAGAGAATTACACTCATTCCATGTTTCAACAATAGGTAGTATGTGCTTGGCTCCCGTAACCATAATAATAGATGAGAGAATGTATAACTTTATATATTTGCACCTCCAAATATTTTGTATCATTTTTACCTTACCAAGCTTCAGTTCTGTGTTTAAATAGTCTCAGTTCTCACGCCACTCTTCTACCATGAGCTTTTCCATTCCTGAATCCTTTATTTTGATTCTTCTCCGGTTGCTGGATTTTATCAAGTCGGAGCCTGAAGGGGGTGGGTGGAGTGGGGCTCACAGGTGGTGTTCTTTCTTCAGCAGTTGGGTGCTGTGGTCTGCCTTTTTATTTGCAGGACAGCTGGGTATAAACTCTAAAGCTCCACTTCTGCAGAGCCCTGATGCCCCGTGCTGTCATCTTAGGGCAGGGGGCACTGCCGGCGCTTTTCCCCTGGTGACGTCTGTTGTCTCCCATGAAAGGGTCTCGCCAGGAAGTACATTTTCCTGAAAATCCCTGAGATCTCTCATTTTTGTATAGATATATGTTGGCTTTGAAAGTTGCTTTGTAGGGCCTCCCTGATGGCGCAAGGGGTTAAGTCTCAGCACTACGAAGCTGTCTGCAGCACGAGTTTGATCCCTGGCCAGGGAGCTACCCACATGGCACAGCCGACCTCTCCTGACTTGCCCACTGCTCTCCTCAGCAGTGTATTTCAGTCAGTCTGCCTTTTCTGCTCCCCACTCTGTCTCTGGTGAATCCTTTCACCCCCCGCATCTCTGGCCTGTACCCTGTTCTTGTGTGCATAAATAAATCTTTAAAAAAAAGAGAAAGTTGCTTTGTAGAAGTCTGAGGTTTTCCCAACCCTCTCGCCCCTCTTGGAGCCCCACTGAATGCTGACATGCCCACTGGCGTGCCTGCAGGGTTTTTTTTTTATCCAGGCGGTCCCATCATTCACTGGCCTGTGCCTGCTGACCCACGTTCTGTGATCCTGTGATCCTTGTGTGGGGCAGGGCGGGCCTTCGTACTGCATATTTTCTTCCTTATATGTCTGAAAATCGCATCTGCTGCCTTTGTAGCTTTTCTACTGAAGCAACAGTTGTTTGGTCCCTTTCTCCTCTCACATCCATGTTAACATTTTTCCCTTTTCCCTTTGTGTTCTCTGAGATTCTCTCAAGTCTTTTCTTTCTCTCCCTGATTCGGTCTCCACCTGTCTTTTCTGTCCCTGTGTTTTCTGGTGTTTTTCATCAGATGTGAGTGGGGCTGTTCGCTTCCTCTTTTCTCACCCCTCCTCACTCCTTGCTGTGGCAAGTCTCCGACTCAGGCTGCACGTACCGTCTTCAGCGATTTGGTGTTTAGTTGTCATCTTCTCATGCTTCCTCCTTCCCTGGTGGCTCTGAGTTCTGAGGCTCCAGCCTTCTCATCCTCTCTGCAGACTGCCTGTTGCACATTCTGGTTGGAAATTCTCTCAGATTTACCAAATAGCTCCATTTTGGTCTTCTTTTTTCTTTAATGTTTTCCTTTCCGTTAGCCTTGCTGACATTACTTTATATAGTTTTTTTAGATTTATTTTATTTATGCATATAAGAACTGGGGTATAGGCCAGAGGTGTGGGGGTGAGAGGAGTTACCAGAGACAGAGTGGGGAGCAGAATAGGCAGACTGACTGAGATACACTGCTGAGGGGAGCAGCGGGCAAGACAGGAGAGGTCTGCTGCGCCATGTGGGTAGCTCCTTGCCCGGGGATCGAACTTGTGCTGCAGAGGCTGCAGATAACTTCAGTGTGCTGTGCTTAACCCCTTGCGCCACTAGGGAGGCCCCCAGTCATTATAAATTTTTATATGAACACTTAGGATTTATTGTCAGTGTTTTCCCTGCACCCTGTTTTGGAGCTAGCATGTTCTCTTAGGCGCCCCTCAGTAGTGTATTCCAGTAGATCCGACTGTTCTGCTCCCCACTCTGTCTCTGGTGAATCCTCTCACCCCCTGAGCCTCTGGCCTATACCCTAGTTCTTCTACACAAATATAAATAAAATTAAATTGAAAAAAATCTGTTTTTCATCATCAGTAGTCAGTTATTATAGGAAAGACTGTGATTATATTGTGATGGAAAGTGAGTGCTGTCTTTGCTTTACCTAATTATTTTTTCTGCTTGTAAGTGAAAGTCACTGCATAGCAACACCAGTTATCCTGAGTGAACCGTCTTCCTCATTCCCTTTATCTTCTCGTTGCTTTACCTGTTTACTTCATGTGGAACACTTAAGACATGCCTCCCTCTGTTCCAAGTATCTCATATGTGTTAGCTTATTTTCCCCCTCGCCATAGTTCATAATCACGATAAATGCTGTCAGTGTCACACCGGTGAAGTCGGTGAAGGTGCAAGGGCTGAGATTGGAGCCCAATGGTCTTACTCCGGGGTCTGGACTCCACTGAGCAAACTTTCAAATACTAGCTGTTCACATAATACCTTTTACCTCCCTTTTCTGGAATTCTGAATATGTTGTATTTTTCAGATGTTTTTGTGGAATTTGGAACAATTCTGATTTATACGTGTGAGAAGAGTTGCTGGCCTCAAAACCACCAGACTCCCTTAGAAGAATTTTGCATTATACAAGAAGACCCAGATGAATCATTATTTAAGTAGTATTTTCCCTTTCTATTTATATAAATTATAATAAATTGTAATGTCTTTTTCTCTCATTTTGACAAGTTATTAACTCTTATTTTCAAGACTTGCCCTTTGTGCTTTTGGCCCCAGTGCTGCAGATGGGACCAGGATCTAGAGCCTCTTGATTGTGGCCTAGTCTGCCCTTCCAGCACCAGTGCCCTGCCTCCATCTTGGGACTTGGGAATGTGGCTCTTCTCTAAACCAGAGGGCAGGTGTCCCCCGCCCAGGCAGCCGGTCTGCATTTTAGAAGGAAATGGGGGGGCAGCTGAAGCCCCAAGAGTGGGAGCGGGGAGGCAGCCTCACCCTGCTGCCTCTGCACTCCACTGCTGTTATCAGCCCCTGCTCTTCTGCTCCCTGAGTCAGCAGTATGAAGACACCCTACGAGCTGTGTGCAGACCTGCTTGCCTGTGTAGATGAGGAAACTATGTATTAATATCACAATTTGATTTGCATCTCTGAGAAATAACACATCAGCCCCATATTATCATGAGATGCTGTTCTAGGCAGCGTATGGCTGAAGACACCCCACCTGACCCTCCTGGGGCACCTGTGGTGAAGGGGCTGGCTGTGCCCAAGCTGAAGGTGCTGCTCATTGGGGCTACAGGCACACTGGGGGTGCGGGGTTGGACTTGTGGCTGGATTCCTCAGCTGAAAATTAGAAATAAGCGGAATTAAATGCTAACTACTGAATGGCATTCCTTCTGCAGGACTGTTGACTCACTAAATTGTGTTCCTCTCTAGGACTGACTTTACCCACTGAATTACACCCCCAGTTCGCGCCTCCTGATAAATCATTAACTGGTTTTCCCTGCATTCCTGGGAACTTGGAAAAGTGATTGTGTTCCATCCCTAATAAAATTCTGTCTTTCTGAATTGATCCTGACATCAGAAACAAATACCTTCTAATTTCTGAGACAACACCCTGCTGGGAATGTCAAACACGTTGACTCCCATCATGGAGACTGACCTGCACCCTCTGGGACCTGGAGATAAGCCCTGACTTCCTGCACATTCCTTCGCCCTTATAAAATCCCAGCACTTTGCCATTTGGGGAGCTAGTAGGGTGCTATCTCATCAACTCCCCACTGGCTATCCCCACTGGCTATATTTGATTTCTCTGTTGATGCTGGCGAAGTAGCCACGAGTATCAGAGAATGCCTCAGACTGTCAGACCACGCCAACTGGAGCAAAACAAACTGCTCAGAGTTACGGTATATTACTATGGATGTATTTATTTTTAAAGATTTATTTTATTTATTTGTGCATACCAGAGCTGGTATGTAGGCCAGAGGGGCGGGGCGGGGGGAGGTATGTGTGTGAGAGGATTTACCAGAGACAGAGTGGGGAGCAGAACAGGCGGATTGACTGAAATACACTGCTGAGGGGAGCAGCAGGCGAGTCAGGAGAGGTCTGCTGCACCATGTGGGTCAGCTCCCTGGCCAGGGATCGAACTTGTGCTGCAGTGGCTGCGGTTAGCTTCGTAGGTTGTGTCTTAACCCCTTGCACCACCAGGGAAGTGCCCTAAATACATATTTTAATTTAGTCATATACACCTGGTCTTATCTACATAGAACAGGATTAGCAGGGGCTTTCCCAAGGACACATAGTTAAGAAAGCAAGGCATGATAAAATAAATCCAGTGTTGACCTATTTAAATATACAACTGCGGGTCCTCCCCAGTGGCGTGCAAGGGGTTAAGATGCAACCTATGAAGCTGTCCACAGCCTCTGCAGCACAAGTTCGATCCCTGGCCAGGGAGCTGACCCACATGGCTCAGCAGACCTCTCTTGCCTCACCTGTTGCTCCTCTCAACAGTGTATTTCAGTCATTCTGCTTGTTCTGTTCCCCAGCTGTCTCTGGTGAATCCTCTCACCACCACTCGACTCCCGCCCTCCCCTTACCTCTGGCTTACACCCCAGTTCTTGTATGCAGAAATAAATAAATCTTGAAAAAAAAAAGATTGGCAGGATCTTTCTGGCAGCTTCCCTAGTCAAGTTACTGCTGGGCTTTATGGATGTACCTGGGGTACATGCTCTCTCATTGCCAGGCAGGACAGAGGCATGTAACTGCATTTTAAGTATATATGTGACCAAGAGGAATTAGAGAGCTAGAAACCACTGGCAAACCGCTTGGAAAGTTTTTCAGAGGGCCCAAATCCAAACACACTCTCCCTTTTCCTCTTTGGTTCCTGTTCCATCTGAACTTGTGACAACCCAAAGTCCTCCTTCCTCTTATTCAGCTTATCATCATCTTCAGACTTTCTGGAGATTCAAGAGATATTCAAACCAAATCTTTGAGCTCCTTCTTTTAGCTTATCCAGATTAACCATAGGCTGCCTGCAGAGCTCTGTTACTTGCTGAGCTTCAAAGTACATTGAATTGTTCAGTTTTTTGCATTCTCTCAGTTTGGTATTTCAGATGGTAATTTTCACCACTTTCTTCTCTGATGCTGTAACACTGACACAACAGTTTTTTCCAGGAATTCTTCTTTTCTTTTTTAAAAGATTTATTTATTTATTTATACAAGCACTGGGTACAGTCAGAAGCATGGGAGGGTGAGAGAATTCACCAGAGCCAGAGCGGGGAGCAGAACAGGCAGACTGACGAAATACACTGCTGAGGAGAGCAGTGAGCGGCAGCAGAGGTCTGTGCGCCATGTGGGACCCTCATCCAGTGGCCTGGCATCGAACCGGCGATGCAGAGGCTGCAGGCAGCTTCGCAGCGCAGTTCTTAACCCCTGCACCACCAGGGAGGCCCTGGGATTCTTCATTTTTGACAAGCAGTCCTATATAGGACTATATTCTTCCTATATAGGACTATGTTCTTCCTTGATTTCATTTCCCTATGCCTGGAGCCTGTCTAGAAATTGTCTTCCTTTTGTCCCCACACCCCAGGCAAGACGTCCTCAGTCAAGCTTCACCTTACTGAGCGCCACAGTCTGTCGCCATCTTGTTACCATCCACTCCACTAGGTACTAAGGTTTTATTTAAATGAATCACAATTTTAATACATCTTTTTTGATTTTTTTTCCAATTTTTGTTTTCGTGATGAACATCCCTATGACTAAAAAAAATTTTTAATCACTGATAACTGCTGTAGCACAAAGCCCTAGAATGAGAATGAGTCAAAAACTATGCAGCATTTTAGGATTTGAATCATTGCTAAGTTACCCTCCAGAAAAGCTTTGTTTTAGAATCAGTGTAAGGGAGTCCTTTTTTGCTTTCTTTTTTTTTTCTAAAGATTTATTTATGCATACAAGAGCTGGGGTGTAGGCCAGAGGTGTGGGAGGTGAGAAGATTCATCAGAGACAGAGTGGGGAACAGAACAGGCAGACTGACTGAAATACACTGCTGAGGGGAGCGTGGTCGAGTCAGGAGAGGTCTGCTGCACCATGTGGGTAGCTCCCTCAAGGGCTGGGGATGGGAACTCTGGGAACTCGTGCTGCAGAGGCTGGGGACAGCTTCAGAGGTTGCGTTTTAACCCCTTGTGCCACCAGGAAGGCCCCGGGAGTGCTTGTTTCTTATCCCTTACAACAGTGTAATCTGTTCTCCTTTGTCAATTTAACAAGTGCAAATAACTTTAATGCTATTTGTGCATGTCTTTGGCTAAATTGTAATACGCTTAAGGATTATATTCTCCATTTATTCGCTTATAACTTCAGCAGGGGTGACTTCTGTTTTCTTGTTAATTTGTAAAAGCGCTTTACATAGGACATTTGTCTTCCAAACTGTGAGGAAGTCCTCCCTCAGAGTTGAGCTGCAGGCTAGGAGGCGCGCCCTCGGGTTTCTGCGGCCGGAGGGCGGGTGCCGGCGCCGCGGGGAGAACACCACCAGGAGGCAGGCGGACGCCGCGCTCCCGCGGCAGCTTCCCCGTCGACCCCAACCCGGGCAGGCCGACCCGCGGGCCCGAGGCGCCGCCCCCCCGCGCGCGCAGCCGGCCGCAGTGCGCAGGAGCGGAAGTCGGGCCGCCCTTCCCCCACCCGCTTCCGGCCGCGCCAGCGATCTCCCGCCTCCGCCGCGGCTCGTGCTCGTCCCGCCATGGCTCTGTCGCGGGGGCTGCCTCGGGAGTTGGCCGAGGCGGTGGCTGGAGGCCGGGTGCTGGTGGTGGGCGCGGGCGGCATCGGCTGCGAGCTCCTCAAGAACCTTGTGCTCACCGGCTTCTCCCACATCGACCTGGTGAGGGCCGGGCGTGCGCGCGGGCTGAATGGCGGGCGGCGGGGCCGGGGCGCCGGGGCCCCGAGTTGGGGAGCGGAGTTGGGGGCGGCCCCAGAGCCCCGGGGTGGGGGGTTCGCCCGCACGGAGGGAGCTGGGCGGCCGGGCCGGGAGGGCCTCGCCGCTCGCCGGGCCCGCTCCGGGCGCCAGGGAGGCCGCGAGCCCGGGTCTTCCGGGCGCCCCGCGGCGGGGCCGCCCCCCGCCTCCCGGGCAGCGCCGGTCTGTGGCGCCTTTGGGATGTGGACGAGACCTCGTGTCTTCTCGCTTCACCTTGGGCCCCCCGGCTTTCTTGGGAGGCAGGAGCTGCTTCATGGAGTCCCTGTGGGTGTTCACTTCGGGGGAACCCCCTTAACTCAATAATGATCGAGTAGAGGGGGCGGGAACAGCACCCAGAGCTGCCGACCCTGTCCCGAGCCAGGCGCTGGCCCGAGGGTTTAAGAACTGGGGTTCGTGACTACCGCCCTGAGCTTGCAAACGCGCTTTTCCCCCACTTTTGCTTTTAACGGAGGGAAGGGAGTTGCGTTGGGTTCAGTAACTTAACGTTGGGCCACGGAGCTAGTAGCAGCAGTCTTGGGGGCTCTCCATAGCTTGTACACTCGCTTGTTTCATTCAAGACGCAGGCTAGCCTTGGTGGACAGTGGGAGCTGCTGTGATTTTTAAATCAAGTTATTTGCAAACTTTTTAGAGACTGGGGTGGTAACGTGGAACTTGGGTGTGAGTTAAAAGTGTAGTCGAAACATGCAATGAAAAAAATCTTAATGAACAACAACAAAAGTGTTGGGCTGAACTAACGTGAGTGACTGCGGAGCGGGACAATCTATACTTCGTTAACCTTCCCATCCATTCTGCAGCACAAATATGGTGTGCCTTAGTGGATAAGTTTGAAAACTTGTTTTAAAAGAATCGTTTTGTCATGTGCAGACCGTGAATTTGGGCACATGGGGGGATGCCTGCCTTTTAAATTTAATGTTTTGGGGCCTTCCTGGTGGCGCAAGGGGTTAAGACACAACCAGTGAAGCTGTCCGCAGCCTCTTCAGCACGAGTTCGATCCCCGGCCGGGGAGCTACCCACATGGTGCAGCAGACCTCTCCTGTCTCTCCTGCTGCTCCCCTCAGCAGTATATTTCAGTCGGTCTGCCTTCTCTGTTCCCCACCTGTCTCTGGTGAATCCTCTCACCCTCCACACCTCTGGCCTGTACTCCAGCTCTTGTATGCGTAAATAAATCTTAAAAAAATAAAAATAAACTTAATTTTTGTAGTAAATTTAGAAAGTACGTATAAGTATTTAAGTGGTTATGTGTCTTTATAATTTTAACAAGTTATACCCAAAGCCATTAAAGATGTTTCACAATTAAAACATTTGATTACTCTTTATATAATTTTATTGAAAAGGATTGAAAATGACTTGTTTTCTGACCTTATTTTTATTTTTAACCAGTAATTGGAATAACAAAAATATAAATGCCGCTAGATGAAATTTAAAATGTGACACTTTTTTAAAAGATTTATTTATGCATACAAGAACTGGGGTGTAAGCCAGAGGTGTGAGGAGGTGAGAAGATTCACCAGGGAAAGAGCAGGGAGCAGAACAGGTGGATCTACTCAAATACACTGCTGAGGGGAGCAGTGGGAGAGACTGGAGAGGTCTGCTGAGCCATGTGGGTCAGCTCCCTGGCCAGGGATCCAACTTAAGTGGCAGCTTCATAGTGCTGTGTCTCCAGAGAGGGTTACAAACAATATTTTTATAAATTATTTCATAAATATTTTTGAGAAAGTTATCTATGAAGTTTTGTTTTTTAAAAATGTCTTAAGTTCTTTTTTATCTGTTCAACAGTTTTGATATGATTGGTCTGAAAAGCATTTTCTCAACTACAAGTTCTGAGATTTGGGTGCTGAGGCTAGTGATATTGTTTAAACATACCAGAAAATTTGTGATTTACCTGAGATTTGTGCATTTGTAGATTGATCTGGATACTATTGATGTCAGCAACCTCAACAGGCAGTTTTTGTTT